AGATGCAGGATATGAAGACACGTAGAACTGAAATGTGATGCAACCTGAGAGGACAGAGAGAAATGGTCAACCCAGGAGCAAAGGTTATGACCACGGATGCTTTCCAAGGGTCGCAGCCACTCACGGGAGAGGAAGTGCACACTCTGAACTGCACTGCTCTCTAGTAGCGGGGAGAAATCTGTGACCCATGCGCCGACAAAGACAGCATGTTCCTCAGGAGGAACACGTGCGCTTCTCTCTCTGAGGCCCGGGTGAAACGTTCCCTCCAGTCCTCGTGATATAACATAATGCAACACATCTTAAATCCTTGCAGAAACCACAGCTATGGAGTTCAGGTCCTTCCCCTGACCTGTGCACATGGGCAGGACAGTGCCGCCCACGCTCAGGGGGCATCGCGGGAGGCAGCTCTGCACAGCTCTGGGTGGGGCTGGCTGTCCTGAGGTGTGCTTCCACTCTGGTCCTCTCCCCAGGGCCGTGGCCCCTGGTGACCGAGGGCCCTTCCCGCTGCAGGCGGACGCCGCCCATCCCAGGCTCGTCAGGGAGATTGGCTCCAGACTTGGGAGATGCGTCTACAATCTCTCATTTAAACAACGTCTCTTCCAGCAGGTGGGCCCTCTCATTTCCTCGGGTAAGCGGTTGGACTTCTGAGGGGCACTGCTCGTTGGCAGCGGCCAGCCAGGCGGAATGTGAGCAGACTCTGCCTCTTTGGATTCCGTGTCCTGGGGAGGAGGCGGCTGGGCTGAGGGCCCAGGGTGAGGGCCATCTGAGCGGGAAGCCTCCAGTGGCCATGGGAGGAAGGGCCCACGCCCATGGGAGTGGTCCATGGCTGTCTGTCCCGGAAATCAAGTGGTGCATCAGCTGCCCTTGGAGAGATGCCGCAGGGGCCTTGTAAAGTTACAACGGTCACAGTAATAACTATATTTTATTTACTTATTTTTAATCCTCACCCGAGGACAGCTTTCCATTTTTTTGTTCAGATAGAGTCGGAGGGAGAGAGAGCAAGAGAGGGAGAGGGAGGGAGGGAGGGAGAGAGAGAGAAACATCGATGTGAAAGGGACACATCGAGTGGCTGCCACCCGCACGACCCAACCAGGGCCGGGGACAAACTGCAACCGAGGTACGTGCCCTTAGCGGGAACCGAACCCAGGTCTCTCGGGACCATAGGATGACGCTCTAACCACTGACCCAAACTGGCCAGGGCACTATACTTTATTTTTCAAGACCTGAAATCTCCAACTTTGGGGAGCTTTCAGTCTATTCCATTTAAGCCTCACAGTGACTCTCTGAAATAAACATGCCATACATTTTACAAATAACGACACGATGCCTAGAGGCGATGCCTCAGTTTCCCGATGTCACGTAACCATGAAGCAGCACTACACGCTGGGTTGGACTGTGTCCCTCTACAACGCGGTGTTGGAGCCCTAACCCCAAGATGACTGTATCTGAAGATGGGGCCTGGGAGAAGGTGAGAAAGTGTAAGTAGGCCGTAAAGGCGAGGCCCAAGTCCAACTGGGCTGGTGTCCTCACAAGAAGAGGAAGGACAGACAATGGAGCAGAGTAATGAATGGAAGGGACGTCTGACAGCAGAAGGGGAGCGAAGTCAAAAATGCCTGCGTGCTGACAGACTGCTCGTTCAGGGGATGGACGGATGGACAGACGGACGGACACGAGGCCCAGAGGGGCTGCGCACTGTGCTCGCGGCAGGGGAAGCCCGGGGACCTCGCTCTCCTGAGCTCCGCACCCTGCAGACCTGGCTCCTGGTCCCAGGGCACACTGTCAGCTGGCCAGAACGGGAGGGAATGGGGCTGTCACCAGGCAGATTCAGGCCTCCCACTGCCTACTGCAGCACCGATTTTATTTCATCCATTTTCCCTGAAATAACTGTTCTTATCTTGAGGTAACATTAAATGATGGTTTCTCAGAGCCTAGGGAACGATTAGGTTTAATTAGTAGACACACACATTGCTTGTTTGAAAGCAGACACCAGGTTTGATCCTCTTTTGCCAAATTAATTTTGTATAAATTTCAGAACATCAACTGCAGGTTCATTGTCTTGATCCAAGATCAGCGGGCGAGGACCCAGCGTGTGCGGGGGGCTGCGGTGCCCACCTGGGGACATGTCTGTGTCTGGGAAGGACGTGGAGCCCCCGGAAGTGGGGAATGGGCCTGCAGACGGCGCGGTGGTGGGTATGGTCCCCCGCGATGGAGTCTCGGCACTGACCTCGCTTACACTCGCGTGCAGGGATCACAGATGGTGTGTGGAATGGTCGCCTTGGCTCCAGTATAGGTGGGCTTTTCCGAAAGGTGATTTCCAGAGGGAAAAGCTACAACTGAAGAAAATACCAGCTGTTCATGGTCGAACTGTAAGGAGCTAGGGAAAACCCGCACGTGAGTGTGCATTCATGCGTCACTCACCTGTCCGTGGTTAGTTCTGGGCAGAAACGCGTCTCGAGACGGTGGGAGTCCTTGTGAGTGACAGGTGTCACCCTGCAGAGGCGGACATCGACCCAACTGCCGTGTGACAACCGCTGTCGGTGACACAGTCGTGAGGGACATAGGGACGGAGGGCCCCCCAGGACAAGGGGAAGAGGGAGGCCCAGGGAGTGGGCAGGCTTGCCGACGGGGCCGCGCAGTAGCGCTTGCGCCAGCTGACCACATACCAGGTGTCACCACGGGCGTGTGAGCAAGGAGCCCTGCAGAAGCCATCGGAAGAAAAGGAGCCGAGTCCCTGATGTAGCGGGCGCGGTCCCAGACGCAGGAGAACTGGGCATGGAGCTGTGCTCCCGTACACCGTCGTGCCGATGGGAGGACACCGAGATGCATCCCTCTGCAAGGAATTTGGGAAATCAGGGACATTTCCCACGTGGGGAGCAGTGGTGTTTGGTTCCGTGGAAAACACACATGCCTTCCACTGAGAAGACCGGATTTCCGTTTTCTGCCTGCCACGGCGTGGCTGACGTGTGGGCGCGGCCTGACCCAGGACTGTCTCCACATCTGTGGGGGGGGCAGGAACATCTGTCTGCCCAGTTCTAAGAATAACGACACGGATGTAAACGCTCTTTTGAGACCACACACTGACACCTGAATGTAAGATGACCCTCCAGGCGTCTTCAAGGACGTGCTTTTCAGATCGTTCGAGTTTCACCTGGTGCCTCGGCCGAAGCCGTCTTGGGGGAGCCGTCAAGCGTTCGGGGGCAGCCTCAGGACCGCAGTGGGGGAAGCTGTTTTCGTGAGCCTCGACATTTTAGCCTATCTGAGGTCCCCCTCCTCCCCCCTTTCCTGACAGCTTGTGTCTGTGTTCCGTCCCTACTGTCAACAGTCATTGGTAGGAGTAAACGGCCTAACTCGCCGGAAAACGCCTCGTAATTCCAGGTGAAGGGCTGCTGCGTTTGCGGAGCCTGCCTGACAACCTGCCAAGTCAGCCTGGAGCCCGAGTCTGCGCTTCCCAGAGCTGCGCTTCCCACGTGCCGGGTGGCTCTGCCCAGTCCCTTGACAGGCCTGGAGGGTCTAAACGCATTTAACCACGTGTACCCCTTCGGCCACCGTGGGGTCGCGGAGCTTTCTACTCGAATGTCAGCTGTCCACAGAACTAGAGGTGATGCCCACAGGACCTGGAGAGAAGGATGCGGCTGCCAGCACCCTCCGCCGTGGTGGTGAAATCAGATGGGAGAACACACGGGCACAGGGCTTCCCCGGCTCGTTCCCCAAGTCTCCTGCTCTCCACCCACCTTCACCTCCCTCCTCGGGCCCTTTCCATGGTCAAGGTCAGAGGACGGGCAAGCTCTGCTCCTCACTCTTGTGATTTAGGTCAGTGGAAGGGCTCAGAGCTGTGAACTGGGCGTTACGAGCCTCCTATCAGCTCCTCACTTTTTTACCCTAGAGTTCTTCACTTTTCAGCATCAGTTACTTTTATTTACACCTTTGTTGTTTTGAAATTGGGAGCGGTTTCCAAAGGTGCCTCCGTCATCCCCTGCCCCCAGCACTATTTGCTCTGCATCTGATTCTCCTCCCCGGAATCCGGGTGCGTTCTGGGAGTGTGTTAACATACAGGGATTCTGTCCCGTGGGTTCCGTGTTCTGTAGCACTCAGGTAGGTTCTTTTCCTTGATTGCTTTGGGTGGCTGCGGACATCGGGACTACACGTGCTTTGGCAGCAAGCGCATCATCGGAGGCTCTGAGCAAAGGGAGAGCGAGAGTCGGGAAGCGGGCCCGGCGCAGTGCCGACAGGCGACTGTCCCAGAGGGAGGTTTGCAGGCCGCAGTCCTATCTGGCTCGGGTGTGGGCCGCAGCGTGAAACTGTTCTAGCCCATCGGAAACCTTGGTGGCCGCGTCTCCGTGACCGGACCGCACTGACGGACACATGGCACCTGTGTGGGGAGAAGCTGACAGGGGGTGCCACCTGAGGGTCTCAGAGGTCCTCATGGACACCCACTGAGGACGCAGCCTGCAGTCTGCTGAGACGGTGCCTTTCGGAGCGTGGTCCCCAGAGCAGCAGCAGCAGCACCCGGGAATTTGGTACCCAAGTGAACTGCAAAGCTGTGAGTCGGAAGCTCTGGGGTGGGACCGGCACCACGTGTCAGGGGCCCTTGGTGACTGCCCCGCATCCTGACGCCAGCAGGCGGGCACGTTGGGGGGCACTTGAGGCAGCTGGCTTGTTTACATTCTCACTCCGAAAAGTGCCGTGAAGAACAAGGCTGGTTCTTTGGAAGTCACAGTTAATTGTTTTTTCCTAAGATTACTTAAATTAATTCACTCAAATGACGGCAGATTTGGTCTATGGGTAAGGCCCCCAAATGTTAGTGAAAACAGTGTCATCTGTCACTCGTAAGAATTACACATGACACTGGTTATACTTCAGAAAAAGGGTGGGCGTACTTCATTTACTTTCCTTGTAACTGCCCAGCCCTTCACAGGACAGAGTGACAAGCACGGCCTGGGAAGCCACTCTGGGTGACTCCGTCCTGTCCCACACGTGACAGACGTATTTCTGTGTTGCAGGTCCAAACTGCTTTGCAGAGACGGCCGTCATCCCGGCCGGGAGAGAGGTGCGGACGGACGAGTGCACCACCTGCCACTGCACCTACGAGGAGGGCACCTGGAGGGTCGAGAGGCAGGCCACGTGCACCAGGCACGAGTGCAGGCAGATGTAGGCGTGCACCGCACAAAACGCCCTCTTTCTAGAACATTCCAGAAGACTCTGGAAATGCCAGTCCAAAGGAGAAGACTTTTGATGAGGAATAATGGGAAATGGTTGGTACTTTTGCTTTTCTTGGCAACAACTACTGCAAGAGAAGGAGATGGATGTATTTCGGATCATCCTGAGAACTTTGGGCATGAGGCCCTCCCCAAATCAATGTGCTATTTTCAGACGGGTGCACAAGGCGCACTGGTCTATGAGCTGTATTTCTAGAACCCTCTGTTAGAGCTCACACAGGTGTTTTCTATAGCTACAGATTAAATGCCGGCTGTCCACCTCCTCACTGTGCACCTGTCTTTTCCATTCTGACCCCGCCACGTGCCAATGTCGTGGGCTGGTTCTCCTTCACATCTCGGAACCACACACCCATGAGTGGTCATGAAACAATGGGACTGATTTCTCCTGAAGTCCTGCCCACACTCTCTCTCTGTCACTTCAGAGATCTGTCTAGTGTCTGTCTTCAGCACAGTCAATCTGATCCCCACAAATAGTGCTCCCTTCTTACACCTCACTGCTGCTACCGCCCCGGGCCCCATCCCTGGGAGACGTGGGTGTCAGAGAACTGATATCCACTTTTTCTGTTCATCCGTGGCTCCCATGTGGGATGGAGACGTACATGTTTCACTTTCCCGGACACAGTTCCCTGGTCAGGACTTTAAGCTGTCCCCTAAACTGAGGCCGAGGGCAGGCTGGACAGTCCGCATCGCTGTCCGTCTAGCTGGTACAGGCAGTAAGGGAGGGGTTTCCCTGACTGTCTGGAGGGGAGTCACAGCCAAAGAAGTCCCGATCAAGCTTTCCTTTCAGGGCACTTGTGTTTCTCCGCAGAATGACCACACTCTCCGTGATGGGCAGTGAGATCCGGAGTGTCTGTCATCCCTCAGGAGGAGGGAAAAGCAGTTTTTCCGCCCAATAAGCTAAAACAAACAGCACTGAGGGCCACCTGCTCACCACCACTGCCCTGTAGTCATGGTCATTCCAAACCAACTTCATCTTTCTCCATTGGACAGGGGAAGGAAGCCACTCCCCACCCGCCGGCCCAAGCGTGGCAGAGGGCACCTCTGCCTTTATCAGTGACATGGACACTGGACAGCAATGGGAAGGGCAGGAAGGCAGGCGGAGCCTTGGAGGAGGAAGGAGGAAAAGCAGAATGAAAGTCGCGGTTTGAAGCCTTCGAAGTAAAAACACGTTGACTTAGTCCAACGTTTTGATCTGGCGCCTGCTATGTACACACCACTGTGACAACACAGACGGGAACACAGCCGGCTTCCAGCCTCATGGGCTGCCGGTGCCACGGCAGCCCGCGCAGAGTCCAAGGGTGCTGTGGAAGGGGAGCCAGAGGGCAGCGAGGGAGCTGGGAAGAGCAGAGAGAAGGGCAGGCCCACTGAACTGTGTCGCATGGACGTGCCTTGCACTCAGAGTTCTTTCTGGGCTCTCCCCAGAGCCCCCGCTGTGGCATGAGCGCAAGTCGGAATCAATGATAACCTCGTTTCAAAGCTGAAACACCAGCTCTGTGACCCGACAATAAACAAAGGCGTTGTAGCAGCCGGTAAGGCCTACTGTCACCTGAGAGGGACCGGTACCCAGGCTGTCACTGTGGCTGCGCAGTTCTGGAGAGATTGCAACACTGACGACTGTGTCAGGAACTCGCTCGGCCTGGGGTAATGTCACTGAGAGGAGTGAGTGGCCTGAGGAAGGAGCCGCTCCAGAGACTCGGCCATGACCTCCAAGCCTGCCCAGGATGAGGAGGCAGCAAACAGCAGCCAGGCTGGCTGGGGTGGCAAACGCTTGCCCAGCGTGGGTGAGGGGCACAGAGAGGTCCCGCTGGGTCCTGAGGAGCTGAGCAAGAGTTGCTGGAACTGGAACAGGAGCGCATGACTGAGGAAGAGGCAGAGGGAAGGGAACTGAAGGAGAGGAAAAGAAGAGGAACCTCAAGAAAATCCGGCGTCGAGGGCTCTGCAGCAGTTCCTGTCCGGGCCCTCTGGCTGCGGCCGGCCTGCTGACCACTGTCTGGGAACGGGGGCTCGTCCCTCCTCTCCAGTCTGCAGGGGCCCCTCAGAAACAGGCAGCCACGCACAGATGTTGGTCGGTACCACTGACAGCCAGCCCACCCGCACACCAAGCTCGGTCTCGCCCGCAGCCCTCGGCATGCTGAGACGTGACATGGGGCAGGGTGATGGCACCGCGCCACGATGGGGAAGGGTGCCTCAGGAACCCCATGCGATCAGATCACTGGGCCTGCCTCACGGCCCCTGCCACGCAGGTCACTGGCAGATGGCAGCCGTGGGGACTCAGCTCGGCTCAGCGCTCACAGCGGTGGCAGCCGCGGGGCTCCCAGCCCGTCATTCCGCGCAAAGACTTGACAGGCACGTTGTCACAGCTGTGACACCGTCTCTCCTCCCAGCGCCTCCTCTGTTGGGCACTGTAGCCTTCAGTCCACTCCTACCACAGGATGAGGGAGTCCTCAGTCGTGCCACCGAGGGCCTAGCACCTCCGCCCTGACCCCTGGGTTGTGACAACAGTTTCCCCGGGGTGGCTGGGGTCAGTCTTCCACCCAGTCTAGTCCCCTCCTTCTTACCAGCCTCCTAGGAGCGTCCCTCCCTCACACACGTCTGGCTGATGGGGGGATGGGGTAACAGTGAGAAGTCACCTACCCCCACACCCACGCCCCGCTGAGGCTCACGAGTTTCCGCTGCAGGAGCAGCACCCTGTATCACTGTCACACAGGCAGGAAAGCTCGCGGGGCTCACACCATGTTCTACAACAGTCACCGCGACCCCACAGGCGCAGAGTCAATGCGGGGAATGTTGCCTGGTCGCTACGAGTTGGCAGCTCAGTGCGTAAGTCACACCCGGGAGGACGCGCCCTCCCTTACTGAGTGACGTCACTCAGCTGGCATCCCAGGTGCAGCAGGCCACCCCACAAGCCCACCGGTCCAGATACTTCCAGCAGCGGGGACGCGGTGATCCCAGCACACGTGACACGAGTCCACTGCCACCGCCCCTTTCCGCAGAACAGGCCCTGGTCAGCAGCGACGTCCTGATGAAGAGGGTGACAGCGGTGAAACGCATTCAGTACATTCACGGAGGGGGCTTGGCAGAAACACTAGACAGAAAACCTACAGCCAGTCCCAGTGTGAGCTAAGGCTGACCCTTTCATGACAGACGTCATCCAGTGTGATCAGCCTGCTACCCAGGCGGCTGGCTGGCTCCCTGGCAACACAGCCACACTGGGGCTCACTGCCGGACTGTCTGCTGTTGGGACACTGGACACCCAGAAGCGGCTGTAGTCAGGTTTTGACTTGGTGACCAGGCAGACCTCCACCTTTGTCACCACGGCAAGGTAGAGAGATGCTGACCTCTGTCCACACAACGGTCATCTTGTCGCCTGGATCACTGGGGTTCTCATCCTCAGTTTCTTCAGTGTGCTCACACTCGGCACTCACATACACGTTCACAGCAGCTGCCGAATTTCTGCTCTTCTTCTTGCCAAGTCTCTAACCATGTTCACTTGTCGCTTATCAGTCTCTGCGGATCCACCCTCCAGCCGCACTCGTCCCGACACGGGGAGCAGCCGGCGCGCTGCTCAGACCCACCTCCCGCAGACGTCCCTGCCCCAGCCAGGACCCCGGCGCTTGCCTGTGGCTGTCTGCTTCGAGATGCTGCCCCGCCTCCTTTCAATCAGGCGTGAACATTTCTCCCACAGTGAGCTTGTCAGAGAGACGCCCCCATGAGCCCAGAGATGCAGACGCAGAACGGAGGCCAGAGGAGGAGCCACGATTCTGAGCCACCTGCGCATGTCCCTTACCCAGGCCTTCGGGACCTGCCTGAGCCCGGCCCTCACACCCCAGCCTCCCCCGACAGAGCAGCTGTGCGCACCCACTTCACGATGCGGGTGGCTCTCCCACCTCTGACATTTTCCGCTGCTTACAGCCCAGTCACAGGTCTCACCCACACTCAGGGGGAGGGCCCCATGGGGTGTGTCTGACACAGCTTTGTGTACCCAGGTGTCTTCGATACAAACGGGCTGCCTACTGCACCTCCCGTGATCTGTACGGGGGGCACCCCGCCAGGACTCAGAGTCAGGTCCAGGTTCAGTAGCAATGAAAACGATGAAGACGGCTTTGAGGAGAAGGCAAGACAGCTACCTGAGGAAGACCGTGTCGGTGCTCAGCAGGAAGGGCTGCCTGCCTGGCAAAGAAGCCCCATAGATGTTGGGTTGAGTGTGCTCAGCCACGTCCTCCCTCATTCCGAGGGTCCGCGCTCCGCGTCCTCAGCAGAACCTCCCTCCCCCCCGCACGAGAAATGCGCTAGGCTGTGAGTTCAGGCCGCTCTGCAGCCTGGCCCACGGGAGCAGAATCGGACTCATCAATGTCTGCACGGCCGCAGGAAGAGAGCCTGCGCGGGGGTCACCGGAGCTGACGCCTTCGAAGCCCGGCTTGCAGCATTCTCTTGGGCCGAGCGCAGTGAGAAGCAACCAGCTCACTCTGTCCTTCCATGTCACTGCCTCCATGGAAAAGCATCGTTCCACCTGCTGCTCAGACACCAAAGCCTGTCTTCTGTGGGCACCTGACCCTGGGGGGCCGTTAGATGGCGCCTGGACCGATGCCATGAGCTGCGACCAGCGACAGAAGCCCTTGTCTCCCATCTGTAAAGGCCGATCTGTGGAGTCAGACTGGGGGAGGCCCCCTGTGCACCAGGCAAGGGTGGCATGCCTGAGGTCAGGCTGGTCTGCAGAGCCAGCAATCCTGGGGACAAGTTGGGGCAGAGTAGAGATGGAGGAAGCGGGGACCCTTGAGGCATTTCAGCGTCTTTGTCACCAGGCTTGACCATGATGACTCAACACCACACTGGAGAACTGGCTGCCCTGGACGCCCAAAGCTGGCGGTGACAGCCTGGGAGGGTCCCGTGTTCCTCCTGCAACAGAAAGGGAGCTGGAGCCACAGTGCAGCTTCTGGAAAGGGAGCGTGAAAGCCAGGGACAGGCACAGACGCGAGGCCAGCTGAGAGCGAGCAGGAGGCCTAGCTGCACCCCGCCCACTGGGGAGGGGCGCCTCTCTCCCCGGTTTCCGAGGGGGTCTTGGATGAGTTCCTCCCTCCCTCCCTCTCACCCATGCGCACTGTGTAGGTGGGAGGCCCACGGTCCCTCTAGACCACAGGGCCCTGGGCCCGAGGCTGGCGCCCCGCAGCACTCCAGCGTGGCCGGAACCCATGCGTGTTGCCTGGGGAGCGTGTGAGCGAGCTGTCCGTGGGCTCTGCGTGGGGTGCATCATGCAGGCCAGGGCAGTCTGCGCACTCCATCCACACTGTGCCAATGAGAACTTTCCAGGCTGTTACAGCCAGGGGACCTGGTGACACTATTCCATTCAACACACTGTGGAAGTCTTAAAGGGGGGTTTCATTCCATCTTTTACCGAATGGAAACTATATTCAAAGCCCGGAAGCACACTGGCCCTGAAGCCATGGTGCCAGGGCTGCAGGAAGGAGGGTGGAGCAAGGAGAGGTGCCCAAGGTGAGGCTGGTGCGGTGGGGCTCTGTGCAGCGGCACTGACCCTGGCTGACCTTGGGGAGAAGAGAAGCCGCTGGTTAGGCTCTGTAATGTGCAGCTGGGCCGATCGTAACGGACGCACGGTCTCACCACTTAGCAGCTGTGAAGACCGGGGAAGTTGTGTAATTACTGTAATTCATTTTTCTCATATATGAAACGAGAATGATAACAGATCACAGACTTTGCCAAACTGAACATGAAATTCCACGTGAAGGGTTTCAACACAACCTCCCCAGTAAGCACTCAGCAGGAAGCGTCGTCAGCAGCAGCTGCAGCCTGGTTTTATGAGACAGTTCGCCCCTCAGTGCTCAGAACAATGGGCTGTAACATGGGAACTGTCCCCACCTCCCCAACAGATCACAACTGAAAAGGAACGTGGGGAGGGGTGCAGGAAGTACGGCTCCCACACATCACTGGCGGGACTGCAAAGTGTTAGCATTCTTAGGGAAGAAGTGTGGCCCAGGGTCGAGAGGGTTAGAGATAGCCAAGCCCAGTGATTCCACTTCTGCGTACTCAGCATAGAGAAGTCTTTAAAATGCCTCAGAATATTTAGAAAGACGATGGCAACTGAAATACTACCTAAAACAGTGAAAATTTGGAAGCAAGGGAAATGTCCAACGATAGGAAATGGCGAAACCCTAACATGCTAACATGTATCAAATATTATAGTCATTAAATTATGCTAATGAGGTGAATAAAATGGTACAGTAAATACATCACAAGATTAAGAAAAATACCGGCTGTGTAACAGTACGTAAGAAGTTCACACGAAGCAGCAGTTCACCGGCGTGCGGACACTGCGGCTACTGGCAGGAAGCTGGAAGGGGTGTTCACCCCCCTCCCATTGCCCGTGTTACCGATCAGGATGCTCTCAGCTGCAGGCTACGGGAAACCCCACCTGCTTCACAAAGGCACCGTCCTACCTCGCAGACGGGGAGCCCAGAGCAGGCTTGGCTCGTACAGCAGGAGGCGATGCCTGCTGGGCGTGGAGGCCCGAGCCCTCAGTGTGGGCTTCCTCCTCAGGCTGGCGACCTCGTGGTTCCCACAGCAGTTGCTCCAAAGGGCTGACGTCTGGGGTGAACAGACGTGCCTGGCGGGAAGAAGGGGACGCGGTCAATGCAGGACAGGTGAGCCATGGTGGCCTCTCCACAGTCCTATCATTTTACTTCCTCAAAGTGCGTCTCTTGTTTCCACCATTTTGAAAGTAATTCATTTCATTGTAGAAAACTTTGGAGACAGAGGGTGTGTATGGATGAAACCCCACACAGGACCCTGACACCGGCCACCCGTCACTAACATCTCGGTTTCTTTGTGGTGAAAACCGCTACCACTCCACCACAGGGAAGGCGCATCGCTGACCCACCACTGTGCTCCTGCAGGTCGTGTGTCCGGTCCACTTACAGACATGAGATGCGGCCTTCACACCGCTGGACGCAGTGCTTCTGATTTCGGTTCAGAGGGTAGTTCCCTTCCAGTGACATCGCGGGAGCCACGTCGGCAAAGCTCTTCACATACTGCCAGATAAACACGCACAGCAGTTACAATTCATAAACCCGGAGCTGGAACGTATCCGCCCTGACTTCCCGTGGACGGAAAAAATCAGATCGTGTGATTTTTAAAAATGTTTTGTTAAAAAATAAGGCATTGTATAACTGTAAGATACTATTTTGATGCAAACAGAAATCGTAAACACTTGAAACTGCCTCATGACAATAATCTTTCTTGGGGACTAGTTTATAATTTGTAGTACACATAGTGCCATCACTTTAAACAACTTTCAACATTGCACATCCTATCTTGTTAATGTAACAGAAGCAACTTTTATGTTATTATAGTACTTGTACTCACAAGACCACAATAACCTATTAACTTCAAAAAGCATTAAGCACAAAATCATGAGCTATGAAGACTACCTAGGAATACCCTAGTATATCGTTGAGTGTGGAAGCCACACAATCAACTCAAATACATGTGATAAGTGATAAAACAGAGCATAGAACGTGTCACCGTGGGAACCAAGAAAAAGAATTAGTAATTCCTTTTCATCTGTTTTGTCCTCATGCAATTTCTTTTTTTTTTTATTTTTATTTTTTTTATCCTAATCCGAGGACATTTTTCCATTTTTTACTTAGATAGAGTGGGAAGGAGAGAGAGGAAGAGAGAGAAACATCGATGTGAAAGGGACACATCGAGTGGCGGCCACCCACATGACCCAACCAGGGCCAGGGACAAACTGCAGCCAAGGTACATGCCCTTAACGGGAACCGAACCCGGGTCTCTGTGGACCACAGGCTGGCGCTCTAACCGCTGAGCCAAACCGGCCAGGGCTGTCCTCATGCGATTTCTACAAACTGTTCTTTCCTTGGGACTTTTAGACTCTCACCTTGTCCGGCCCTCTGAAATGTGTGTGCTCTCATTCCAGTCCGCCATCCTCCTTACTCCAGTCCCTCGTCCACTTCGGTCCTTGTCCCAGACTGCCCGTCTCCTTGGCGGGGCTCTCACCTCCGACACCAGCACCGCCGCCGTAACCCGGACTCCACCTGCCCAGGCCGACAAGGTGCTGAGCAGTGCTGAGCATGCCATGGGGAAATGTAGCATCAGTTCAACTTGTCCACATGCTTCAGTCATATGCAAGAAGTCATCCAAATAGAGGGAGTACAAAGAATGTGTGTTTCAATTCTCCTTGCCACACAATTTCGAGATCGGGGGACTTGAGGTTGTGCTGTTTTGAGAGAGAAAGACTCCGTAGGTCTTCCCTCGTTACAGAAGACATGTCCAGAGGGGCAATAACCCCCCCAGGGAAGTCACGAATGCGCCAAGGGGAAAGACGTCTCCTGAGAAGCTGTCCACAATCACATGAAAACACTACATCACGATTACGAAGGTCCAGAGGGGGTCAGGTCAGGAACGCCACCAGGACTAACAAGCACAGGCCCTGTCACCTGTGCCTGTGTGCGGATTCCGGGTGGCATGTGTCCAAGTGGGGACCATGAGCAGGCTAACCTAACTGGCCGGCTCAGCGAAGCAAGCTGCCCTGGGCAGCAGCAGACTGCCCTCCTGTCGATGTGCTGAAGTTGTGCCTAGACCTGACCCGTGTCCACCTGCCACTTGCTGTGCTTATGTCCTCACAAAGGAGATCTAAAGAGAGAGTAACAACCTCCAAGACAGTGTCCAGTGGATATAAATGCGACCAGAAAAGTGAGAAACCACGACTTTTGTGTCACTCACGTATTTTCGGTAGTTTCCCACATTTCCGGCACAGCATCGTGTGGGGGGGGGGGGACGTGTGCGAGGGGACCTGGGGGTGGTGGTGGCCCTGGCATGTCCTGTGATGCTTTCAGAGGGCAGGAAGGCAAGGAGAAGCTGCCAGCTGTTGGCGTTGAAACGCCACTTTTATCGCTGGTTCTCGTGCCCAGAGGCGCTCTCGAGGGGTCGCTGTGCCGCTCCCTCACCACGAAAGCTCGTACCCTCGCTCAGGCACACGCGGACTCCGTTCCAGAACATCAGAAAGTCAAGTGGGACTGGACCTTACACTATAGTGGCTAGAGATGGTAATAACAAGACTGGCAGTCTTTTGAAAAGTGGCCTTGAGCTATGAAAGGTCAAGAGGAAAGAGAGAAAATTCCACACAGCGAAACCAAAGCAGTCAGCAAGCAGACATGAAACGCACACGGCAGGGCAGGAGGCCTGGCCTGAGCCAGCGTGGAGGGGCAGGGCACAGCTGTTTCTGGAAACCCTGAAGGACCTCTCGGGCTAACCTGACGCCGTCTTCTGCAGCGACTTCTGCAAGGCAACGCCCGGGCAGCATTGCGGGCTCCCGGGCTGGCTGCACTGGTAAGCACGCAGCGCTGGGCGTGCCTTCGCAAATCCCCGGGACAGTGTTTCCATTAGAATGACGACACTGCTGTTTCGTAGAATCTGATACATTTAATTCTGGCATAATAGTGATTTATTACGTATTAACATTTCTAAAATACACTGCCGTGTGTGACGAAGCCGAGGAGCGCGGCACGGCTACAGGCACGCTTTCGCCCCGAACACCATGCTGTTGTTGCAGTGCAGACAGTGGGTCCCGTCGCTGGGGTTGTAGGAGCCGGGGCTGCAGATCACTGGGAAAGAGAACAGGGAGTAAGCGCAGTTCCTCCAGGGGGCCTGTTACTCGACAGAGGTACATTGCAAAGAAGATTCCTTTTACTTATAGCTTTTTTGTTGAAATTGTGATCGACATACACAACGTAAAGCCTGCCCTACCCGCTGTCCAAACGCAGAGCTCAGCAGCAGTGAGAACGCTCCCCTGCTGCACAGCTCATCTCTGGGACGCCCTCACTTGGGAGAACTGCGACTGCACCCAGCCAGGCCCTCCCGACCCCCGCTCTGCAGCCAGCCCTCCGCTGTTCCCATGAGGCCTGGCTGCTCCGAGTACTCCAGGAAACTGAAGAGTTTTAACCTTTACTCTGGTCCTGGTTTAGACTACGACTATGACCTGAAATACTGTACTGATCAATAATGCTGAGCTTAAAGGTGGAATGGGCCATCCTAGGAGTCGCAGCAGGAGCCAGAGGTCACGGCTGTGGAACTGAAGGTGACCCTGAGGCTGCCCTCAGCAGCCATGACGACGACGTGTAAGGAGAGTCCAGATATGGGCAGCCATGCACCGCCTCTCTAACAGCATTTCAACTGCACGCCTTTGTCCCTAACACAGGATGATATGTATCATGAGCACGTTACCATGGTCCCCTCTGCCCGAGAAAGAAAGAAGGGTAGAGAAACCAAGGTCAGGCGCATCCGGTCACTGATAAACTCGGGGACCCCGGGTAACGCAGCCAGCCCTGAGTCTGTCTCCTCGTCCGTAAAGCTGGCCAACAGCAGCCACATGCACCAGCCACCGCGAGGACAGAGCCGAGGGCAGAGCGAGAGCAGCCGGTGACGCAAGCATTCACTGCGAGCTCAGCCCAGGCCTCGGCTGGGACACAACAGGGAGGCCGTAGGTGCCAGTACGCTCAGTGGGCTGGGTCCGTCCCTCCGTCCCCCTGCAGAGTGGTCAGCAAGGGCTGGCGAGGCGGCCACATCCCCACAGGCGTGGCTGCTAGGGGCCGCTAGAGAAGACTCTCTAGCACCAGGACACGGAGACACGCGTCACTTTGAGGCTCATGTAATTTCACACCTTTCTTTTTAAAACCTACTTTTCCAAATCGCAAAATATTTAAACTGTTTCTGAGAAAGAATTCTCCACTCTAGGTTCCAAAGAGATCCTCCAGTTTTAGTAAATATTTTATTTGGGAAATATTTCAGGTGGAAAAAACACAGTTCAAGTTAACTAATTTGTTATGGTAACAAGAATTTAAAGTGGCAACGCATGTGGTGAAATTCTAATACATAATATAATTTTCCCAAAGGTCTGTGATCAGGTACAGTTTCTCTCAAAAAATATATTCCTAGCCCTGGCCGGTTTGGCTCAGCGGTTAGAACGTCGGCGTGTGGTCCAGAGAGACCCGGGTTCGGTTCCCGCTAAGGGCATGTACCTCGGTTGCAGTTTGTCCCCGGCCCTGGTTGGTTGTGTGGGTGACAGCCACTTGATGTGTCCCTTTCACGTTGGTGTTTTTCTCTCTCCCTCTCTTCTTCTCTCTCCCTCCCACTCTATCTGAACAAAAAATGGGAAAATGTCCTCGGGTGAAGATAAAAAAAAAAGATTCCTATTTCTTGAAGCACAAACATGGAAATGTGGGGAGGGCCCTGGAGTGTGCATTCATCACACGTGGAGAGAGGAATCTGTGTTCAGTCATCACAGAAATACTGTTTGTGAGTGTCACTAAAGAACTGAAACACGGATAAAACCATCCAAACCCAAGTTCACTGACCACTCTAACTAGTCTCTGAATGCACCACCTCCAGACACCGCATGTGCAGAGCGCCATGGAGTGACAGATGCCACAGGCAAGAGTGTAGCTCTCCGAGAAAGTCCCCTAAAATAGTTTGTTCTCTCTAAGGGGAACTGAAGAGAATATTAAAGTGCCAGTTAAAGCGCAGAGTAGTGAGAGGCCCTTAGAGGCAGTGCTGAGTGACCGTGGCGCAGCGTTCCCTACGAGGAAACTAGGGGATGACAAATGCGCCAGAGGTGAAGGGATGAGGGTGGGGAGAGCGGAGGATTTTCAGGGCAGTGAAGCTACTATTGTGTATGACGCTGCACTGGGAGATACAGGTCAATATACATTTGTCCCAAACCCAAGAATATAAACACTGAGAGTGACCTTTACGTAAACTATGGCTGTGGGCAATGCTACGAGGCAATGCAGGTCCATCAAGGGTGACAAGTTCACCACACGGCTGAGAACGTCGGTAACAGTGCACGCCATGCGTAGGTGGGGGCAGCGGGTACCTGGGAAACTCTGTACCTTCCACTACATTTGTTTAGGACCCTAAAACTACTCTAAAGTATAAAGTTTATAAAAATACCCTACAAATGAAAAACACATTTTACAATGAAAACAGAGAGATACTGCGGACAGTGACCCTGGACGACAAGTCAGGCTGAAGAAGGTTCCTTAGCCTGAGAGAATCATCACCAGATAGAATAAAAGGACTGCGTTACCAGTTTGAAGCAACTGAAAGACAACAAACAAAAATACACGGAAAGATGTTTCTTGAGAAACGGACGCTGACCACAGGGGACAGGACACAGGCAGCTCCGACGGCTGCGCAGGCTTCCCAGCGGCGCCCAGGCAGCCGAGTGGAGCTCGACAAGGTCCTTGAGTTCAGGAGACCAAGCCAAACGTCTGTGAAAAGCGATGCCGCTGGGCTCGTAGGTCTGTGTAGCAGGAAGGACAGAGTCACAGAGACAGGGGACTCCAGAGACGACTAGAACACGGCACCTGACACACGACGGAAGTCAGTGTGCGTCTCAGGAAGCTGCCCGAGGCTGGTAAAGGATCCTAGACCTCACGGCTAGAGGAACGTGTGCCTGCAGTCCCTCTGGTCACGGAACTGCCTGTTCCAAGCGACCGGAATGGAAAACCAGTGATTCAGAAGGCGCTGGGTAGAACACTTAGGAAGGCTGGGAAAATAACTGGCTCTAGACTGAATAATAAATGTGAACCATCTATCAAATTAGAAAAGCAAGACATAAACGATCACATTGTTTCCATGTAATGTATCAGTTGCTTCTGAAAGACCAGAAACTTTGTGGGAATATAAAAATACACAGCAAGTAAGACAAAATTCACAATACTTGGAATCTACAGAAAGATGATCAGGCATGAGAAGAGGTAGGGAAACTATAGAAATGACACAGCAAAACATATTTCAGAATGTGTTTTTAAAAATTCTATCAGAAATAATAAAATATTAAAGCGGGTCTTTGTAGTATATTCATGATGTAATTTATGAAATTATGAGATACCTATAATTCACAAAATTAGGACTATTTTAGTGTCAAAATGATTGAAAAACTGTGAAGTTAGAGAAGTATTTCACAGCAAAAATTAATTTAAAATGTTAAGCAAATTAGAAATGAGAAAATATATGCAGAAGTATTAAGTCTCTACTAATTTATACGTAAACGACCTTTATCTGTCATCCAGAAGTAAACGTTAAACCAGTGGAGTGAGAGATCACTGTTTACTGAGCCACTTCGAGGAAGTGCGTGGACTCCCCACACCGTGAACACGCTGCCCCGTCTCTGGTGCACGTATACTCGGACACCTCCTTCTGGAAACGGGGGTCTCACTGAGCCCTTCATGCTTCATCTGCTCCCATCTAGTGTCCATCTAGAGGACTTCACGTGGATGGATTCTAAGTTCGTTTACTATGTTAATTTTTGTCTTGCAGCTATGTTCTATTTTATACTGTCTTCCAATTTGGAGAACAGGTTAAATGTCATTTTCAGTAACAGGGCTCTTTAAGATTTTAGAGCGATGGCCTAGTATGAGACAGAGATGGCTGCAAATGATGGGACCAGAAAGCTGTATCATATATAATTAATTATGTTCAAAACAGGGAGCCCAGTCTTGCTTAATCAGCCTACCAGAGATAACAGCAGAAAGGTAATTCTAAGTTAAGATACTTATTTTCCAAAGGATGCCACAAAATGAAATTTAGCAAAGCACTAGTGAATAAGTACACTGAGCCATGATAATGATCCCATAAAATAAAAAGATGGACGTCCTTTCTCTCCTCCACTCAGACAGAACTCGTACTGCTCCACAGCTCTCCTGACACGAACCCTCCAGCCCCAGCCAAGGGAGTCCCCCGAAACCTGACGCTCACTCGTGCTGTTGCTTGGATGGTGCTCGCTAATTCTGTATCTTCCGAGTCCCACCTCCCGTCTCCAACTCCCGGGAAGCCTCATCTCGACGACACGATCTTCTGTGTGATCCCATCTCTAGCGAATCTTTACAAACCTTTCTGTCCCTTCCCGCATTTCAGCAATCTCCATTCCGTTTCACGGGTGCATCCCGTGTCTCTCAACTCTGTGCTCAGAGACCCCATTTTCTAGGAGAGCAAACAGTCCTTCAGAGGCAGAAGCTACTTCTGAGGTTTGTGTGTGTCTCACTGTACACGCCCATGAGGCTGTTGTCGAGGACAAAGTCACTGCTTGACAAACGTGCTCAAACAGTACAGCACATACTCACTTGAATGATATGACTACACAGTAAAATTAAAGAATCTGACAACAGTATAATTATCCCAACTTTAATAAATGCAAAAATAAATTTTAATGGTAAAATTATTTGGACTTCTCAGAGACTCAAACCTATTATTTCACTTCACAGAGCGATGTTTAACTATATTAAATTCTTGGAATTACTGAGATGCAAATATTTCACATGTCTAGTCCGTCTGCAGTCTTGCTGAGTGGGAACATAATGCCTGTGACAGGCAGCTACACAGCCAGGCCCACTGCGAGGCGGGTGCCCCATGCTCTGCCTCGCTGGGCTCTGGGGTGGCACAGTCACATGACCAAAGTGTCACACAACTGGCACTGCAAGTGCTTCACTTGTTAAATTTTACTGCACTTCCTAAACTAACTTGTCAGTACTTTTTGTCGAATTTCTTATCCTTAAACAAAAACAAAATTAGAAGAAAGTAAAGCAACATCTAAGTAAATAAAGCAAAGTAAAAAGGGTATTTCGTGCTTTATGATACAAAAAGCGTTTTAATCTAACTTAAGACAGGAGAGAGGAGAAAAGAACAGAGTAGACTGAATGAAAGTGGTACCAGTGCAGTGATGCGCACATTAGAAGGTGGAACACTACAGACTCATTGGCTCACGCAACTCGTGACAACAGCCGACACAGACCTGAAGCCAAGCGGTCGCCCTACAGCCACCACAGAACTCTGTCACAGGGTGAAGGTCAATCTAAGCCAGACAGCGGCTCAGGCCCTTCCATGCTAGGATCCAAGTCAGAAAAAACAGCTGGTAATGAAACAATTCACATACTTATTTAAAAAAAAAAAAAGATAAATAATACCTACTCGAGACTATACACATGAACTCATCAATAATTGATTCTAAAAGAAATATGATTTAAGCCCAGCCGGTGGGGCTCAGTGGACTGGGCATCATCCCGTGGACTGAGAGGTACCGGTTCAATTCCCGCTCAGGGCACATGCCCGGGTTGCAGGCTCGATCCTCAGTAGGGGGTGTGCAAGAGAGCCGATCGATGTCTCTCTCTCACATGGAAGTTTCTATTTCTCTCCCTTCCAATCTCTCTAAAAAGTCAATAAAAACATATTAAAAAAAAAAGAATGATGATTTGACTCTATTCAGGATAAGTAACTGCCTCGTAACCACTGTGTCCCCCTGACCCTCCTCACCCCCTGTATTAGAACATTAACACCAAGGCTGGGATCAAGCCAGCTTTCTTCCTTTCACAGCTGCAGATTCACAGTCTTCTCACACACTGTTCTGAATAAACTGAAGAAGCACTGAAATAATGGTAAAAGTAACGGCGAGGGGCTCACTCCGGCACGGCCACTGGCAGTGGGGGACACACACAGAGCGGGAAGCAGTCTGTCACATACCGCAGCACTCAGGGCAGCGCGGGTGCTTCAGGATGTTGATTCCGTACCCCGGGAAGCAGCGGTTGATCCAGACCATTTGGAGGGTATCTTCAATATAGTATATTTCAGGCAATGGACTGGCACGTCTGCCCAGAACTTCTACTTGTTGATTAAAAAATCTCTCTATGAGATTTTTAGCCTAAAACATAAATACAATATGAAAAAAAATGATTTTCATAAATAAATGTAATTTTAGAATAAATAAGGTTGCTTATGTATTTAGAAGCAGGGGGAACCAAATTCTTGAGGTCCTTATTTTTTCTTTCATTTGTAGGATATAAAACACATGTAGAAATTAAATTATGTCTACCACAGACCTCAACTACTTCCAAATACCTCACAAAGAAGCCATCTGGACACATATCAACCCTTTGGTCCCTTGGGATTCTGAATGTTATGTGGATAGGCCTAAGACGGCTTTCTGAGATTACATGTGCTCGAAGAAAGGTACTCTAACAATCCAATGCACTTAATGTACAGTCCAATGCACTTCAGAATTTTTAAGAAGGGTATCAGATCCTGAGGTATCCGCCCCACTCTTTCCCCAAATGTCAGGTATAAAAACAAAATAAAGATAGCACATGCCACAACTTCTCATTCTGTGTTCCAAAAACTTAAATTTACAAAATAATCATGGCATCATTTTTGTTTGTAATAATTATTCTGGATTGACTCATAGAATCAACAAGAGGCATATCCTTTTCAGCGACGGATAAGTTTTACCTGTTGGAAATGAGGTGTGGCCATGGGTTCAAACCCTAAGACCAGTTACCTGCTCAGTTCTCACACGCTAACACTCCTCTCGAATCTCAGGAGCAGGGATGAACGGACTCACACTGATCTACAACCACTCATGGTGACCTCAACATACTGATTTCTTCAAATACCTTACAAATTACATCCTTTCCATAAAAATTTCTATAAATAATTGAAAATGTTTTTCAGTACACTGCAGTCAACATATATATACAACTATTTCTTCTACTCAATTATTATTTTTCATAGTTTAAATGGTTTTCTTGTGCTTTTAATAATTTAGGTGAATTTGTTGACATTTACTTGGTCAAACATAAATTTTGCTTAAGAAAGTGCTTAAGAATTAATTAGATAAAATCTGGCATCTAATTAACTATATTCAGTTGCCAAACCACAGTGAAGAGTTTCAGAAAACATAGTCATAGTCAGCTTCCCAACACTGCATCCAAAAAAAAAAAAATCAATGAAACCAGACCTGAGAAAACCTGTTAGGAATGAAAGTGATCATATAAATCAGATTCCTATTTCTTATCTTCCCTCTAAAAAAGAATAAGGGCAGATGCTTTATGTGATACAAATGGAAAGAAACTGTTTGAACTATTAATTGAATTCGTATGAGTATGTTGATGGTTAACATGGGGTTAATTATTTGAGCCAAACAAAGGGTAAAATTAAGGAAGTATATGAGTTGGGTAAGAATTACAGATATAAAGTACAACTTTCTGGACCAATTTGGATGAAACAAGGACAAATCATAATTATAGAAACGCTCCATAAATTAATCATCGGGTCAAGCTGCACATAATGCATGTGGCTGGATAAAGGTGGGCTGCCTCATCCACACCAACCATCCTTCACCCTCCCGAAGCCTCACAGACGACAGAGGATGTGCGGAAGAACTGTGTTCTGCAGTGACTGGTCCCTGATAACAGGGCTGGAAGAAGACAGTCTTGCTGTGTCAACAATGGGCGTCTGTCAAGTGCATGAGTTTGCATAGGATGTGAACAGCTGTTTTAAACATCACAATATGCTCTGCTGACCATGCCAAGCCGTGCAGTGGATGGAGGTGACTGGAGAGGTTCGAGTTTCGCTCTGTGTCGCTCCAGCAGACTTGGATGGCAGCAGCCGCATAAAGTACGGCTTCTAGGAGACACACGAACATGCATGTGCAAGAGCAGAGTGTAACTGGAACTCCGATGTGCACTCGGGGAGAGCTGACATCTGCCAGGAGCTACACAGATCACACATGTAATACAGAGTCCACAGAAAACCTTCAGTTACACGTGTACCTGGGAATCTCCAGGAAATTTAAAGTGTTCACGTGGAAACAGACATCAGTCATCAATCACGTATAACAGTATAAGTGTGCTTGCCAGCACCAACCACCGCTCTTTCGAAGCAACTTGTAACCCCTTTGAAACTCCTCTTTCTGTCTTTATAAACTCTTTCCATTTCTTTCTCCCTCAGAACACACTTGGAGTTTCCACCCAAATTTAATTTCTAAAAATACACCCCCACAAGTAAAGGTTTTGTTTGCCTTGCAGTTCTTGGTCAAAATTGACTGACAATATCCAATACTTAGTCTTCATAATAACATCTCACAAGTTAAGATTACAGAGAAATTTTCTCAAAAAGATTTACAAAAAAGCATCTACAAGAAAAAAAAGAAAGAAAAGAAGAAAAAACCCACAGCAAACAGAATACTTTAAGTTGAAAGGGTGAACACTTCCTCGGGCAACTCAAGGAAAGAACAGGATATTCACTTTCACACACTGACCAGGAGAACCTGCGCCACCGTGTTGGAAGGACAGAAACCACCAGACTGCAGGGACTAAAGGAAAAGGGGGCGCTGTTCCAAGGGCGCAGAGGCTCAGAGGCCTGGGAGGGACAGATCGCCCAGGCTCAGCACGGTGACCATCCGCAACAAGCTGGCACCAAAGCGGACATCTGCCACGAGAGCTCATCTCAAGCATCACACACACACACACAAGTCACTATGTGAACTGACTGATATTTTAATTAGCTTGATGGTGGTAGTGTATATAAAACATTGCTGTACCTATTAAATATATATATAGGTCATTTTAATAACATTAAGTCTTCCAATCACTGAAATGGCATATCTTTCCATTTATTTAGTTTTTAAAAATTCACTTTTTACATTTGTAGTTTAAAAGTACTGCATGTTTTCTGCTAAATGTATTCCTAAGTTGTTTCGTGGGTACTACCATAAATGGAATGTTCCAAAAATTCATTTGTCAGTTGTTTCAATGTCCAACTCCAACCAGACGCCAGGGAACTTTTAAAGAAAACTGACATGGTGATTCTAAAAGTTTTTGGAGATGAGAAGAACCCAGAGTGTGCAGAACAATTTAGGAAGAGAACGGCAGCCGCGGGCGCCGGCAGCCTGGCTGTGCGGGCGCAGGCGGAAGGACGCGCACTGCGCCGGGCTGGGGACGCGCCGGGCTGGGGACGCGCCGGGCTGGGGACGCGCCGGGCTGGGGACGCGCCGGGCTGGGGACGCGCCGGGCTGGGGACGCGCCGGGCTGGGGACGCGCCGGGCAGAGCGCAGGCAGCCACGTCGCAGAAGGAACGTCACGTGGGACCGAATCTTCAAAGAGCTAGATTATCCATCTTCACAGGGCGAAATGGCAAAACAAATTTGGACATACCCTCGTTTGGGAAAAATTTCAAGCTACTTAAATCTTGCAAAATTAAAGAAATATACGTAGTAAAAAGTAAAAATGGAAGATGAAAAGGCCCTCAAGTTGGAAACCGAATGAAATGAATAAGGCAGATACAATAAACATTCACATTTGTAAATGTCCGTCCCCAGAACGACTCTGTAAAAATAGTCCTGGCCTGGAAATTCTTGATTATTTGTATTATTACACTAGGTATTAGTTATTATGCTACCATCAATCTCCAACCCCCCAGAAAAATAAAAAATAATTATTTTTTCACAATTGGCCAAAAGATACACCATGTTATGTCGAGAGAGAAGAGAACGGAGAAAAGGAACGGAACGGACAGGAAGGGAAGGAAGAAGGAATACAGATACTTTGTCAAGAAAGGGAAACAAGGTTCCGAACAACAGGAGAGGTCGCAGGGCACAGACCTGGTGAAGCCGACAATGCAACAGTAATGTTCTCAAGAACAAAATGGAGTTAACAAAATCACAGGTATTTCTTACTGAAAGCCTCATGGTTTGGAGAGCTTGATTTTTCTATTTCTGTGTTTCTATGTATCTATTTCTATTGAATTTATTGGGGTGACATTGGTTAATAAAATTATGCAGGTTTCAGATGTAAAAGGAGAGAGAAAGGTGACTCGGTGTTTTAAAATGACACAAGAAACGATGCAGGGATACCACCGCGAGACCACCGTGACGGAGAAGAACAAGAGGTTCCCTTCTGCTCCCCCACCCTGTGCTTCACCACAGCCCCGCTCCATCAGCAGGGGGAAACTGTACGAGCTGAGGGTCTAGAACTCTGAAATGTGCGGGCTGGAAGCAGGCTACAAGACGTTATTAGGCAGCTACAAGAAAAAAAAAAGAAAGAAAAGAAGAAAAAACCCACAGCAAACAGAATACTTTAAGTCGAAAGGGTGAACACTTCCTCGGGCAACTCAATAACTAATAATGATCAGCACAGCATGTGTGGGTTAGAAACAGGATTAGAAAAGTTAAGTGTGATTGTTCCCCATTCCTGGTGACCCAAAACATAGTCCTATTTTCCAAGTGAAGGAAAAAAGCCTGTCTCAGGGATTAGAAGTACCTTAAGGAAAAAAGTTTAATGGAATTCCTGGTAATAATATCGACTGAAAGAGGGGTGGGGAAGGTAGAAGAAGGTATGGGGGGATATGAATGGTGGTGGAAGGAGACGTGACTTGGGGTGGTGAGCACACAATAGAACATACAGATGATGTATGACAGAACTGTACACCTGAAACCTATATAATTTTATTAACCAATGTCAATAAAAAAACTCAATAAAAAAAACACACTTAAAAAAATACATTACTAAAAAGAAATCATCACCTTGTCAAGTTCAGAACAAAAGTAATGGGTATTGAACTGAATCTGCAATCCTATACTTTAAGTAGGAAAGTTTTATAATCATCATAATATAAATGATTAATATTCCAAATGTTTAAAAATAATGAAGTGTTCACCGTCATTTAGAATAATTAGAGAGAAGAAAATATCACCATAAACTTACTGAGCCTGACAATATGTTAAGTATGATGTAAAAGAACCAACCAAATGAAATCGCTGCTGGGAGCTATAGCGTAATTTCCATCCTGAGCCTAGACACAGGATGCTGGGCACAGAGCAACATAAAATTAGCTAATAAACATTATATACTCAGTAACACAAAATTCTACTTGATTAATAATTGTAAATTAACCTGAAATAGCAAATAAGGCCAAATAAATGGAAAATCATTTTAATATAATGGTGCAAAATGCTAAATATCTAAGTATTTCATGAAAATATCAGCTTTTTAAAATTCTTATCCTTTATTATTTTACGAAGTTTTGTTATTATTCAATTCCCTAAACGTGTGCGGGGAACTGACTCGCTCCGCTCCGGCAGCAGCTAAGACGCCTCTTAGGCCCCACCCCCGGCCCACGGCCCCACCCGGCACACACCTTCGACAGCCTTTTGGCGTAGTCACAGTCATGGTCTTCACAAGGCTTGGACCCCTTTTCACCTTTTTCAGTATCTGCACATGAAACTAAGAACATACATTACATTTTATCAGGGATCTCAAGTACTACATCATAATATTTAAATTAGCTTTTAAAATACAAAATAGATCATCTAATATTTTTCCTCCACTAAAAACATTGAGCAATTTTCCTAAGGTTAAAGCCCTTTTTTCAACTAAAAACCTAAGGCAAATATTTGTTTTAAATACATCAGGAAGACCCCACAATTACAGTAAACTTAAAAATTAATCAACTTTCTTGATAATGTTTGGCAATTGATTTATTAAAACTTTAAGAGTAGAATCATTTTAACTTTTATAACATATACACGTGCATGTATGTATAAATGTGTGTGTATTCGGTCAATATTCTACTTAACTATACCCAGCCGACGTGGTGTGTGCCATCTGTGCCCCCCCCCCCCAGGGATAAAGCACAGTAACAATGCGAGCAGGTGTGCATGGGCTGTGGCTGGGAACAGGCTGGGAACTACCCATCCCCGCAGCACGCAGGACCCATGCACTCAGCACCCGATCCCTGGGAGTCTGCTCTGCACCGAGGCTGCTCGAGGAGGCCAGGACCAGCAGTGACAAACTGGCAAACTCCGTGCCTTCCTGGAAGTAACACCCGAGGCAGAGCAGGTGGCAGCAGTGACAGCGCACGGCCTGCTGTGTGGAAGGCGGTGAGTCCCGGTAAGGGACAAAGCAGGAAGAAGAGCTGGGACTGTGAGGGGAGACAGGGTCACAGTTTCTTCTTGGGTGATAAGAATCAATGACACTCAGCAAACAAATGAAGGACTGAGCAGCCCACGAGCCGAGACCGTGACTAGTGCAGGTCAGACACTCGCGTGGACTGCGAAGAGGACGGCCAGGGGTGAGGCTGAGCACCGAGAGCAAAGGGGCGAAGAAGTGCCGGGAGGCGTGCGGTGGGGCCCAGGGACTCGGGCTGGTCTGGTCTACATTCTGCCGGAGGAACCGGCACGAGCTCCTGAGGAGCAGCAGCCCCATCCCCCCCTCTGCTCCCCCTCTCTGCCACGGCCTACATGTGGACAGAGCAGCACCCCGCGCCTTTGGAATCGCCGTGTGACTCTGCAGTGGCAGTGGGGAGGAGTGAGCGTGTGAGTCTTGTCTCGATGACTTTCCGACTCCCTCTCGGCTCTCCTCCACCGCGAGCAGAGCCTGCCACTGGGGCCGCTGCCACCGCAGACCCCTGCAGACACGCTCCCAGAATAAGCCTCAGGGCACAGCCAGCCGGCAAGCAAAGCCGGACCACACCATGACACAGCCCCCGGAGCCCAGCCTGCACACATCTGTCACAATCAATGGCCACTGCTCTTACGTTCAGTGGGAGTTGAGTTACACTTTAGTGTTGAAAGAAGAAATTTTAAAAATTAGAAAGCTATTGTAGTAATTCATTCAAATATATTAGTGGCTTGAACCAGTCAGTAGCAGATGAGAAGCAGCATGATCCTAATAATATTTTGAAAGTGAAACCAACAAGATCTGTTGAGATATTGGTTATTGGGTGTATGTGATTAAATGATAACTCCAAGATTTTTTGGACTTTGCAAGATCATCTGAGAGAAGTTTCTAGTGTACTACCAACACATAAAAATCAAAGAAGGAACAATAAAAGGTGACTTCAAGAATTCTATTAATTAATCTTTCTAAATTATCTCATCAATCTGCTGATCACACAGTTCTAGAACCGTGAACCACTCCCCACTTACGCATGGGGAAAAATCTGGTTTCTAGCCCTAGGTCTAACACTAACAATCAAAGGCCTATTATCTAATATTTCCTCCGAAACTTCCACTCTGTCCTGTAAAGCAAGAGGCTAAGCATGTGACTTTGTCCTTCTTTCCAGTTGTGAGCATGTGATTGAAAACATGGTAGATCAGTCTAACAATCAAAGCTCTCAATAACTACAAGCAATTATGACAACTTCACCTTCCCCAAATTCTATGTACCCTACCCATTAGCCTTTCTGGATAAATAAAAAATAATAATTTCCCAAAGGAACCCCATGCTGTCCATGTACATAACATTAAGATGCCATTTTACGTAAAATACTTTTAAAACACAAACATTTGTTCTTTGATCTTCTGAACTCTCCACTCCTCGATGACATCTTCCCCACTTTTATAGATCCCACAAAGCACCTGATACGTCTATTATAGTATTTACAGAACCTGTACTCTTCGTCTATGAATATTTTCTTTTTTCCAGAATATGATGATCTTGAAGAAAATGTCCATACAATATTATAAACACTTGCCTAATGTCTTATGTAAAATAATGTTTGATATCTAAGTGTTGATGTGAATATAATAAAATTGGCCACACGAGTATTAATAATGCAGAGCACATGCAGAGCACACCTGAAGAGCACTGGGAATGTTGGTTACAAGTACTGACACGTGCAGAGCACACCTGTGAACACTGGGAAATGGCTACACTGAGACCCTCTAACCCGTCCAGACCAGTACGTCATGAACCTTCACTGCTGCCATCTGACTGGTACCATAGAGATTATAAAATATCACAGATAAGGCAATCAAAGACACCAGAATAATTTTACAACATCAGAAAGAACAGTTGTCATCTGAAGCAGACTTCCAAGTCAGTCTCTAAATTTAGAGAAAAAGTATTTTTATGGCCTATTTTTACCTTAAAGTCTTTCAAAATGGGCCTATCCTAATTCCAGACCAAAGAAAAGTAAAATCTCTAAATTTAGGTATCATACATGTACAATGGAGTTATAGAAAGCACTGGCAAATGTAGCCATATTTTAAAAATAGTATTCACCTAAGGTAGAGCTTCTGGAAGTATCATTCACGAAGTCATTCAGAAGATGGTAGATCAGGGTTCACCCATGTGTCAATATGATTATGAAATTGGATCATTATGATAATGTATAATTGCTTTTTTTTTTTACTTTGAATCCTTATAAAAATGAAATTGTAGAATTCACTAAAATATACTATTCATTAAACTAAAGCAAAATAATTGGAACCAATAACACAATCAACAGAAATGATCCAGTTTCCAGAATCAGTCTAGATAACGGTTACTCAAGGTGCTAACCGAGGACACTGTTTAAATAAGGTTCAGTACTCACGGCAGTCAGGGCCAACAGGCAGGATGCCCCACCATGGCAGGCAGACCACCGCACAAACCACTCTCTCCAGTCGATTCCTGAGTGTTGGCGTCCTGTTACAGACCCTCTTTATTTAGGCCTGCTGGCTAACCTCATCCTGTATTGAAAGGGCCTACCTTCTATTTTTAAAGACAAAGCTTTCTCTGAGATCAAAAAATGAAAAATACTGGAATGGCATTAATGGAAATGGTAAGTAGGAAACTGTGAGCCATGTCCTACCTCAGAAAAGCTGAAAAATGGCACAAAACCACCAGAATCAATTTATTAGAAATCCAGAAAATAGTTAATTGTTTAAAACAACCAAGTAAATGCTAAATTAACAGAAGTTGACTTAAAAACACAATTTAAGAAAATCTATACCAAATCACTGGCTAACATCAAGCTAAAGGGAAAGAGACATTGAAGACCACACACAGAAAAGAATACAATTTTTAAAAAAGTAGTTTTAAGTCACTAAACAAACAACCTATACAAGCAACAACACCTATACAAGCAACAACAACAAACACAAAAGATGTGGATGAATCTGATTTCCGGAATATTATATTAGAATATTCAAAATGCACATTTTTCAAAAAATTTACAAGGCATGCAAAAGAAAAAAAGAATATAGATCATTCATAAAAAAATAATAGAAACTGTCACTGAGAAGGAACAGATATTGGACTTACTAGCCTCTAAATCAACTGTCTTAAATATGTTCAAAAAGTTAAAGAAAATAGACATAACACACAACAAATTATGCCTCAACAAAAAGATAGTATCAATAAAGAGAAAAAGCTTACAAAAGGAACTAAACGAAATTCTGTACGTGAGTGTTACAGCAAAATGAGGAAGTCACTGGAGGTTTTCAATAACACATCCAGCCCTGTGGGAGAAAGGGTCGGTGAACTGGAAGTCTACTGACTCACCCAGTCAGAGGAACGGGACGGAAGAGCAATGAGCGCCTCAGAGACCTGCGGGACAGCAGCTGTAGCAACATGTGCACACAAGGGTCACAGGAGAGAAAAAGAGAGACTGAGACAATGCTTGAAAAAATGATGTCCAGAAACTTCCCAAAATGATGAAACACGTGAATCTACATATTCAGATTCGATGAAATTCAAGTAGGAAAAATGCAAAGAATTTAATACTGAAGCATTATAATCAAACTATCAGAAATCAAACACAAAGAGATAATCTTCACAGCGGAATAAACACCACCACAAAATAAGAGAAACAGAAGCAACCTGCTGCATACTAAAAGTCCCTAAGAAGATTAAAAGCAGATTTCTCATTAAAAACCATGGAAGTCGGCCATGTCCATTTTGGCTCATTGGTTAAAGCGTCAGCTCACCGACCAAAGGGTTGTGGGTTTGATTCCAGTCAAGGACACATATCTGGATTGCAAGTTCGCAATCCCTGGCCCCGGTTGGGGTCATGCAGGAGCAACCAATCGATGTGTCTCTCTTACATTGACATTTCTCTCTCCCCCTTTCCTCCCTTCCACTCTCTCTAAAGAAAAAAAAAAAAATCAATGAAAAAAATCTTCACGTGAGGATTAAAAAACACACACAAAACCATGGAGGTTGGAAGACAGTAAGGCCACAAATTTAAAGAATTGAAAAAAAAATCTATTATCAAAAATAGTATATAAGGCAGACTATCTTTCAAAAATAAAAATAAAATGTTCCAAACACAACATTTGGGAAATTAGATATTAAAATGACGACAGACAGTAATCTGATGCTGCACAAAGAAACACGGACTGGTAGTGAAGCTGACACAGGAAGACATGAAAGCCAGGACTGTGTTCTATTTCTTTAACTCAGCTTTCCCCCAGATGATGGTGAGACAAACATATAAGACAATAATTATACATCTACTGGTATACACACACAGCAATAATGTGTTAATTTAAATTATCCAGTATGTTTATGATGTTAATTATAAAATGGGAACTGGTTCAACCTGATAAAGAGCTTTAATGAATAACCTATAGTCACTATTATATTCAAAGTGAAAGACTTGAGCTGTTCCCTCAGGTGAAGACAACCTGTGTGTGTCTACAATCCTGCCGCGTTTACTAAACAGTATACTGGGCATTCCAGTAAGAGCAACTTAGCAGGAAAAAGAGATGGAAGTTATACAAATGAAAAGGAATAAGTAAAACTACTGCTATCCTCAGATGACATCATCTTCTGTATAAAAATACTAAAATTTCCAAGCATAAAAACACTAGTAGAGCAAATAAACTAATTCAACCAAGATGCAGAAAACACACAAAATTCAATGAACTTCAACACACCAGCAATGAACAATGTGAAAAAGAAACTAGGGAAATGACTGCATTTACAACAGCATCAAAAAGACTAAACTGTGTAGTTAATAAACTGGTCAGGAGGTGCACGCCTCGCACCCTGAAAAGCATAAAGCAGTGCTAACATGGTGTTCAAGTCTGCTGTGGTCTGTTCCCCAAACTCATCTGGTGAACCCCTAGGCCCAGGGTGAGGGGATGAGGAGGAGGGGTCCCTGGCAGCGGCTGAGGTCATGGGGTCATGGGGTGGGGCCTCTGAGTGCAAGGAGAGCTCTTAGGAGAGCCCAGAGAGAGGGCCCCTTCCGCCCCTGAGGTACAGCGGCACCGCTGCTACCCCCAAGAGGGGGCCTCCGGAACAGGCTGCACCACGTCTCAAGCTTCCAGCTTCCAGAAGGTGAGAAAGAGGCTGCTATTGTTTCCAGCTGCCCAGTCCGTGGTCCCGGTACAGCAGCCCACTGGCTGATAAGTCTCCAATGAACAGAAAGCGGCCCTGTGCTCATGGGTCGGAAGACTTCTCATTGGCAGGTGGTCCTACTATTCAGAGCCATCTACACAGTCAACCAAACCCATTAAAACCCCACTGACCGTTTCACAAAAATGGGGGGAAGATACTAAAAAACAGAATTGCAATTGATTTCAAAAGCCAAAACAATGATGAAATGAAAAAAAAGAACTGGAGGACTCCCACTTCCTAATGTGAAATCTTATTTCTTGTTTTTCAGAAAAGATTCAGTCTCCACCCCATATTATTAGGAAAAGCTCCCTAAGCTGTCACAATGGTCCCTCTGGTTTATAACAGTGACCCATCTTATTACAATTAGATACTTTCACAAATTAAATCTTTGTAGCTCACTATCACAATAGACATTCCTTATACTAAATTCCATTCTAAAGTAGATTATCAAAGTGAGGTTTAAGTTGTTTGAGTACAAACTTTTTATTAAGTATTGGATCAGTAATAGATTATTAATCTATTGATCAGTAGAACTGTATTTTGGGGGCTATTAGAACTCAGTTAAAGTAGACCATGAAAATATTCAGATCTATAACATTTACATTTTAAACCACTGCTGGTAACTCATATCTTTAAAATTAGCTCTGTGCTCTCGTTTGTTTTCTTAAAAGCACTGCGTATACTTACCTGCAAATTTGAAAAACAATTCATTTTGAAAACCAGCTTTTTGCATTTTAACATGATGACATTCAGACTTCAGTAAGGAAACTTCACATTTAATGTCATGAACCAGTTTGCTTAAAATCTGTAGAAGTTTATTCTCAAAAGAAATGTTGTAGACACTATTGCAAGGAGCTGCATGATATCGAGCTGTGAACTGGTAATAAAAATGAGGCTCACGATATGCTGCAAAAAATTGAACAGAGAATAACAGAAAAATAGTTACATAAGCAATTCAAATCATTATATGGAATAAATTTATTCTGTGTGTGTGTGTGTGTGTGTGTGTGTGTGTGTGTATTTTTAACAATTATCTAAAAGTTACTAAGTGACAAATGCCACTACAGGCACTTTACAAATAGTAACTTATTTAAATTCTCTAACACAAGTTAAGATTGGTATTATTTTTATATCCATCAGAGAATTCTAAAGGATAAACAGATTTCACATGCCCAATGCCTGTGCTATTAAAAGTAAGATTCTCACAAGGAATTTGGCCACAGCCTGTACCCTTTACATCAATTTCACTACCTCAAATCAGGAATGAAACTTCTATAGGTTAAATTAAATATCCATCTTCAAAGAAATTAGTCATAATTTCCAACTTTAAGCAAAAACAAAGTATGCACCTAGCAAATCTACAAGTCTGATGGAGTCGCATCATAACATCAAGGACTAAGAACATTTATTCCTACTCATTTCAAAATCTCAGTGAGATGACACAAGAAATATCTAAGTGATTAGGAAACCATGACAATCACAGCAATCAGAAAAGCCCACCTCTGAGACAGGAAGCTCTGCCCTCCCTGTCCCCGGCTCAGTGGCCCGACCACAAGACAGGAGGGTCCGCACTGTTCGGCTGCCTACCTACTCATGTAGGTCAAAGCTGAGGGCACACACTGAGCTGCTGCCAGTGTTTACCTACCAGGCAGAGAGCAGACAACTTCTAACTGCTGAGAAAATTATCAGTTTTAATTACAAACATACATAAACATACCCCACCTTTGGGAAACCCACAGCAGTCAAGAGAAGAAACAAAAGGCAAGGGGAGAGGGCCTAAGGGAAAATTCATGTAGGAAGTATTAGATGATTGAAAAAATTCTAACTAGTCCCCTGGCTGGTTTGGCTCAGTGGTTAGAGCGTCAGCCGCAGACCAGAGAGACCTGGGTTCGATTCCAGCCAAGGGCATGTACCTTGGTTGTGGTTCGTCCCTGGCCACAGGGCTTGTGTGGGTGGCAACCAATCGATGTGCCTCTCTCACTTCGATGTTTTTCTCTCTCTCTCCCCTCCCACTCTATCTGAAGATAAATGAGTATGCAAAAATATACTCAAGTGAGGATTAAAAAAAAATTCTAACTAGTAAAGATATATGCACCCCATGTTCATTGCAGCACTATTTCTTTTTTTGGGTACGTGCCCCTAGCAGGAACCAAACCCAGGACTCTCTGGTCCACAGGCCGATGCTCCAACCACTGAGCCAAACTGTCCAGGGCAATTGCAGCACTGTTAACAATAGCCAAAATTTGGAAACAAACTGTCTACTGATGGATGAATGGATAAAGAAATTGTGGTAGATATATAAAATGAGATATAAAAAAGAATGCAATTTTTCCATTTGCAAAAACATGGATAGACCTCAAGATATTAAACAAAGTGAACTAAGTCAGAGAGAGAGACAGACAAATACCACTTGATATCTCATATGTAAAATCTAAAAAAAACCCCCAAAACCAAACTTGTAAACACAGAGGACAGATTGGTGGTTGCCAGAGGCAGGGTATAGGAGGTAGGGTAAAGGGAATCAAAGGTAAAAAAAATAAAATGGAATTAATCAAGTATTCTGGATCTGCTCACTTGTTAGGGGGTTCTCATTAAAAGAAAATACATGGGGCTCAGCTCCTGATTAGTTGCTGCTGGGGGCTAGTGTCGGAAAAGAAAAAAAGAAAAAAGAAAATACAGATACAAATTGAAAATAACAATCAACTAAAGAATAGTATCAAAAAGTGTGTGTGTGTGTGTGTGTGTGTGTGTGTGTGTGTGTGTGTATTTTTTTTTATGGTACGTGCCCCTAGCGGGAACCGAACCCGGGACTCTCTGGTCCGCAGGCCGACGCTCCAACCACTGGGCAAAACCAGCCAGGGCTCAAGAAATACATTTTTAAAGATATTCTGAGAAACTCAACAGTAACACAACAAATAATCCAATTAGAAAATGGGCAACAGATTATCAATAGACATTCACCAAAGAAGACGTACGGATGCAAACATGCCCATAGAGTTGCATTCAGCATCATCAGACATCAGGTGGCTGCAAATGAAAAGCACAAGACTATCTCTTCAACCCACTGAAATGGCTGAAATGGAAGCCGCGGACACCACTGCACCCTGGTGAGGACTAGAGAAACGGCCTCCCCCTTGCCCTGCTGGCAGGAATGAGAGATGGCACAGCCATTCTGGAAAGCAGCTGGGCAGTTTCTCATGAAACTAACCTGCAACCACCACATGACCCACCAACTGCACTCTGGGCATCTATCCCAGAGACCACACGTCTGCACACCTACGCACAACGTACACAGCGACGCCCATGCATCAGCCCAGAGCTTGCAGTGATCAGCAGCTCTCCAGTGGGCGAGTGATCATACCAGCTGGGCATATCCACACAGCAGAGCGCAACTCCCCAATCACAGGGAGCAGCGATGCACGCACACCAACTTAGGTGAACTTCCAGGGACTCGGCCATGACAGAGCCAGACCCGCAGGACTGTGCCCTATCTCCCTGCATTTCCACGACCCACTGACAAGTGTGTCTGTGTCATGCAGACGTGCCCCTGGAGAAAGATCTGCCCTCCCCGAGAACTCCTTACAAAGTACTTTGTAAAAATAACAAAATCCCTTTAAACAAACCTGCTAAAATATTTAATATCTGAGAGCATTAGGAAGTGATCAAGAGCACTAGAACCGCTCCTTACCGTACACGATGAATTTGAGCTGGAGGTTTTTGACCACCTCTTCCACGGTAGGCTTGTACTCGAGGAAGCACGTGTAAGCCCCCGTCATGCTCTCCTGGAAGTCCTGGAACACAAGGCTGCCTGTGGACGTTATGTGTGTGGTGCTGTTTTCTAACGAACAAATCAGGCACAGTAATTAGTTTGTTAAATTACATGAGATTAAGATAAAATAACAAAATATTTCCTAAACAGAGTAAAATCACCAAATGTATCTACAGAACCATTCAAAGGAGTTGGGACATAACTAGTCATTGCATCTGGTGTTTGTTGATGGCAGCTGCCAGGATGACCATAGTGTCAGAATTTCACTAACTCCAGTTCATGGGCCATGTAGCTGCCCAAGTGACAAGAGACTAACACACAAAGAGCAGCTTCTAATTGGACATTTGAGCTGTTTCCTGTAAGCAGAGAAAATGGCTGTGCTTATTGCAAGGGCTGCTGCACAACGAAGCGGTCAGTACGTGCACACTGCTCACCACTGCACAACGAAGCGGGCAGTACGTGCACACTGCTCACAACTGCCTCTGACACATGGCCAACACAGTAGCTGTTTGTTATTTTTATAAAATTCAAAAGAAAAATGCAAAGACACACTCTTACAAAACACATACATACATATATATTCATACTTCATATGTATTTGAATGTATGCCTTTATATATATGGTAAATGCATAAAGAAGAGCTAGGAAATAATATTGTAAAAGTTCAAGGTAGTGTTTACTTGGGAAAAGAAAAATGGAATTTTTAAACCACTATGAAGAGGTGCAACAGTCCCGGAATGGGGAGTCTCCACTTGCACAGCAGGCTCGTGTATGTTTAATGCGATTCATAACTGCATTTACCTTGCACACATTTGCACATACAGATGCTTCAGAGTAAGGCACTGCTGAGATCATTCAACTACATAAAATAATAAAACATACTACAAAACAAATATTTCCCATGAATGTTTCTTTAGCAAGTCTGTGTATGAATCTAGTTCTTCCTTCCTTCATCCAAGATAACAAAATAAACCTGAGGGTTTCCAGCCACAAGCACCATCTCAATATGCCAATGAAGGGTAAACAGAAAGAAAGCGTGGTGAATAGAGCAATAAAGAAAGATTTCCTCAGAAGGTCTGCAAAAATGATTAAATGCTTCACTGAACAGATCTTCAAGATGAAAATTCATTCATCTGAATTTTTAGCAAGGCTGAAAACAAGGGAGCTAAGCTAATCTATATGTTTGGAATTGCACTGCAAAAACAAATCAGCTTTTAGCAAATGAAAAATTAGAATAAAAATAAGATATGCATTTCAAAATAACAAAGTAAGAAGTTGAATGGAAAAAATGTTGACTGAATCAGTCATACCAATAGTAATTTCTGTGTGGAAAAAAGTACCTTCATGAGAGTAAGATTTTTTTTGCTCAAAAATCTGGAAAGTGCAAGGCTACCATTCAAATGTATATGGAGTCCATCTCCTCCTCTGCTACATATGCAAATGCAAGCTAGTCTTTCATGAGCACAGCTTCAGTAGTATATTAATACACAACTACTGCCAAACCATGCAGTATATTTAAAAGCACGTTTTCATATGAAAACATTCAATGTTAAATTTAGTCATTTTTTTCAAATTTGATAATATTTAAGTTAAATCTATTTGGACATGATTTTGGTCAGAAAGAAATATAAAATAAAAAATATAAAATTAGCCCTGGCCAGTATGGCTCAGTGGTTACGGCGTTGCCCCTTGGACCAAAGAGTCTCCAGTTTGATTTCCGGTCAAGGCCACATACCTGGTTTGCAGGTTCAATCCCCAGTCCTAGTCGGGGTCCCGTGGGAGGCAACTAATGGATGCTATCTCACACCCATGTTTCTCCCTCCCTTCCACTCTATCTAAAAATCAGTGGCGGGTTAACAACTGTATATACACATCTCCACTACTGAAGTCTCAGGTTGTCCCTGGGTGGGTCTGCACAAACAGACAAAGCCATGTTTACAAGTCTATGGCTCAAAGGGCTTGTTTGCATTTTTAACAAAAGCCCAAATCATCTTTACTTCTGCATATGTGTCACTAATAAAAGTCTGACTGAAGTAACCAAAATGATTGCATGAACTTCAAGAAAAAGTAAGATGTTTTGGAATATAGATGCTTAGAGAACGCTCCAAACAGTTCAATCAGCTAGTGTGTCTGTGTCTTAGATTAAGACCTGTGAAAAATGGTCACACCGTCTGCACTGTTGGATTACAACTCCAAAAGGAAACCACAAGAAAAAGGAGGGAGGGAATAGAAAAATGTATGTGAGATACAAACATTCTTTGTGTTCCTAGTATATCTCACAAATATCGGTCTGATTATGACAACTGAAACCAAAGCCCACCTGAAATAATTTTCCCACTTGGCCCATGCCACTGGAACGACGGGTCTATCAGCTCGGAATTCCGCAGCCGTTGGGTTACACACAGCACATGTGGACTCTTCTGATGGAGCATAACATACACTTTCACTGAAACAAAATATTAAAATGTTCCAATTATATTTTATGTGTTTCATTTTTGCAGTTTGGATTACATGTTTTCATAAGTTTTGTTTGGATTATTGTTATTACCTAGTAAGAACTGAATTTCATTGCATTCCATGTAACTAACATTAAAAATATATACGTACATTTTATTTGTGTGTGTGTGTGTGTGTACCTCAATCTTAGCATAATGCACTGGTCTTTTTTATTATGAGTTAACATATAGTAATGTATTTTATGCTCAGAATATTATTTTGATTATAAATTATTAAGATAATCATATATCTGTACTTTATCTTTTTTGCTAAGAGACCACACCTGAAATTGGTAAGATAACTTTGTTTAAAGGGACAGTACTTTGCTCACAATGATGTAACACAATGTAGTGAAGTAAAAACTACTGCACTTAAAACACTACTTGATTTTAATTATTAAGCAGTTCCCCATTTTGCTTTAAAATTTAAAGAACTCTGATAATTAAACAAGCAAAAATCATATTCTTTAGGAGACACAAAGGGAACCCAACAAGAATCAGCTGTTCTGAAGTTACTCATGAGTGAGCTTTTAGAACAGCCCCGTCTCAGAGCCACACGCGGCGCTTCTCTGCTTCGCGCGACACTTCTCTGGTCCAGGAAGATCAACACTGTCTTGAGAATCAAAACTCTCCCTGACATTAAAGAGGCGGGCTGTACATTTTCACCGTTCAGCATGACATTTACTGAGCGCAGCTTCTAGGCAGACATCATTCCTTAGGTTAAGAAAGTTCCCCTTTATTCTTGGTCATTTATTTTTATCAATAACGACTGTTAAATTTTAAGAAATTTTTTTATACTGATTAAAGTGATCCTTTAATTTTTTCCTCTTGAATACATTAGTGGGATGTCTGATATTACTAGATTGCTTTTCTGAAATAATTCACACTGATTACACTCTTACTTAAAATCTGCTGGATTCAAATTGCAGAGTGTTCCCAGGGTACTTACTTACACCCATATTATACATATATATACATAGTGCATAGCTGCCTTGTACTACCCTTTGTACTTTCCAGTGTCAGGATCAAAACGGTCATTCAGCATTTGGGATTGTGAAGGCTGTCATCGAAGGCCGTAACAGCCACACAAAAAGAACTGGACAGAGTTCTTCTATAAATCTCCTCTGAGAGAATTTGTAAAGTTACTTTTGCCTTGGAAAAATTCTATAGCCTGGTACTCTTTTTTTTTTCCTGGCAAGGGGGAGTAGAGAAATAAATGTTTAATTTCAGAAGAATTTAATTGGTTATTAATATACTAATGGAATCAAGTATGTTTTAGAAATTCACACTTAACTAGAATGATTTACTTCCATTAGTATAAAATTATTAAGAATATTATTTTTGAATTTTACCATCTTTATTAAATTCATAATAGATTTTCTACTTTCGTTATCCTCTCATGAAGAATTTACCAAAAGTGTCTACTGTTGTTCCAAAGACAGCTTTTGGATCCATCTCACCTATTATTCTTCTCTGACCTCTTCCATTAATTTCTTCTGTTATTTCTTTGCTATTTACCTCAGTTTAAATTCCTCTCCCTTCTCCTAACTTCTTTCATACATGCTTATTGTATAAAGCTGTCACTCCATCGCTGGGATACAAACAATATGAAAGTATCTCTTTTGAAAACAGCAAGAGCCCTGGCCGGTTTGGCTCAGTGGTTAGAGTCAGCCCCCAGACCGAAGGGTCTCAGGTTTGATTACCAGTCAAGGGCATGTACCTCGGTTGCAGGTTTGATCCCTGGTGGGGGTCAGGTGGGAGGCTACCAATCTGTTTATTTCTCTTTCTTTCTCCCTCCCTCCCTCCTTTCCACTCTCTCTAATAAAAATCAATGGAAAAATATCCTCAGGTGAGGATTAACAACAAAAAATGATACACAGAGGCAACCTAACATTTTGGCTCAGCACGTCTGAAAGCACGGGCAATGTCCGTGCTGGCGAGGACGAGGTCAGCATGGCTGGAGGAAGCAGGAACCGCTGCTGCTGGGAGGGGCAGTGTCAGTGAGACTGAGACAGCTCAGTCCCAGGAAGATGAGCGGCAGCTCCTGACATATAGACGCAGATGACTTTATTTTTTATCCTCACCTGCATTCATCTTCAGATAGAGTGAGAGTGAGAGAGGGAGAAATATATAGAGAGAAACATCGCTACGTGAGAGAGACACATGAGAGAGACACATCGAGTGGCTGCACCCACACGACTCCAACCGGGGCCGGGGACAAACTGCAACCGAGGTACGTGCCCTTAGCGGGAACCGAACCCTGGTCTCTCTGGACCGCAGGCCGACGCTCTAATCGCTGAGCCAAACCAGCCAGGGCCCCAGATGACTTTTGAATGGGCACAAAAAGAAATATACAAAGTGGTATTCATCGCACACACCAAAAAAATGGAGAGAACTTAAAATATGACAAAGATGTCAATAAATAATTACTGAATCAACGGGTGATGAGCAAATGAAGATAAAACACCACTGAGCAGCAAGGAGTAAATAATGTGTGGACAGTAGAAAAGAAGATGACAGAACAGATAAGTGGCTGACAGACAGATGCTGAGACTGCAAATGACAGAGGGGACTAAGGAAATTCTAGGCGAGAAAAGTCAGGCAGTCAGAATGTTATGGAGGCACAATTAGTAAAACATCATATAATAATGTGGTGTGATATAAAATATACATGCTGAACTGAAATGTTAACCCATTTTTAAGAATAAATTAAATAATATCCAATTTTTAAAAAGCAGTAAAAAAGGAAACTAGTTTTATATAACTGTCATAATTTAGGTTTAAAAGTTGTAGTTTTAAAACAAAAGCTATAATAAAAGTTGTGATGCCAGTGAAAATGGTGAAATAAGGAATTCCAAAAATTATCTCTTTCATAAAGGAAATGAGAAAAGTGGCAGAAATTGCTAGAATGAACCTTTTCATAACTCTGGAAATTCATCAGACTTGCAGCAACCCAGTAAAAATGTATTCAAGGAAAAGAGGTGCACCTCGGTGTAATGGTTAGACTATGCCTCTCCCCAAAGCCATATGGGAAAGCCCGAGCCTCGAGCTCCTTAGAACGCAAGCTTATTCGGATGCAGAGCCTTACAGAAGTGACCGAGTTCAAACACGGTCATCAGAGCGGGCCCAGATCCAACGTGACGACTGTCCTTCCAGACAGGGAGGTGCTGACGTGCAAGCACAGAAGGAAACGCGGTGAAGGGACACAGGGAGAACAGGGCTACGGACCAGCCTGGGAGGAGAGCTGGACAGACCCTTCCCTCGCAGCCTCGGAGAGAACCAACCTGCCCCACGGTTGGCCTTCCAGTCTGCAGATCCGTGAGACCTGTCTGTTGTCTATCCGTCCGCTCTGTGGGACTCTGCAGCCCAAGAAAACTGATACACTGGCAGAGCTGGGAGCTGGTGGCAGCCTGACCCGCCCTGCTCCCCCCTCCCCTCCCCAGCTCTGCAGCAGCCTGGAAAGCAGCATCACCCGCAGCCAGCACCTGGCACAATGAGTCAGCGGGTCTTCATTCAAAGCCTCCTTCCCAGAGAACTGTTATTAGTTGACATCTCTGGCAGTTTCCTAAAAGACACCATTCACAAGGGTGTTTTGACCTAATGTGGAGCATACTCACTGTACAGAGCTTTCCCCCAAGGTCATTTGTCAAAACCCAGAGGCTATCCTTAACTCCGCAACTGCCACGCAGTGAGTGACAGCTGGGTAAACAGAGGCCGAAGCCCTGCCGAGGGAGGGCTGAGAATCACATGTCTGTGAGAGCTCTGAGAAGTTCTGACACATCCCTGGGAACAGAGGCTGCGTGCACGGACAGGGTGGGCACATGGCTGAGGCTGCAGCACCCGTAAAAGACTGAGAGGCCTCAAGTTCTTACTGTGCCCAGCAGAGCGTGAAAAGGAAGACAGTTGTCAACTGCCCAGCTACATGAGTAAGCTACGCACAAAGAGTACACAGAGACCCTCAGCAAAGACCAGGACACTAGCTGGTTCCAGGTGTGTAAGGAAACCTCTGTCCACCCATTGGCAGAACTAAGCTAACTGGACATAGAAAAGTTACTGGGCAAACAATCAGCAACAACCCAATATCTGGGGAGGGGGAAGAATCCGATTTCCAGAGTTGCTACAATATATTATGTAAAAAGTCCACTTTTCAATCAAATATACGAGACATGTAAAACCAAGAAAGTAGAATCACAGGCAGGAAGAAAAGAAAGCACCAACAGAAATTGTCCCTGAGGAAGCCCCACTCTGCACTGTGCACACAGAGCTGTGGGGTCGGGCCTGAAGTGCGACAGGGAGCCTTGGGAAGGCTGACTCGCAGTGCGGGGACGGAAGTTATCTCAGAGAACCAAAAGGAATTCTGGACTGAAAAGCGTAACTGAATTAGAAAATTCATTTGAAAGAACTGACACTAGATCTGAGCAGGTGAAACAAAAACTAAGCAAACTTGAAGGTCAATCAACTTGGGATTATCCAATCTCACAACGCAAAAAGAACATAAACAAACAGCACTCACAGACTGTGGGAGAACATCAAGCAGCCAGTTCATACTTAACGAAAGTCCCACTGAAAACTGCAGAAAGGGGATTGAAGTAATATTTGAGAAATAATGGCAAGATCTTCCCAAAACTGACTTTAAAAACCATAAATCTACCCTTCAGAGATGCTTAACGAACTCAAACTACATTACATTCAAAGAGATCCACACCTAGACACAGCATAATCCAGTCAACATTCAAAATCAAAGGCAGAATTTTGAAAACAGCAAGAGAGAAGCAATTCACTACATACATGTGATCCTCAATGAATTAGTAGCTTACTTCTCTCTGAAACCGTGATGAAACAGAAAGTCTAAATACACCTAAAACAAGTAAAGTGTTTGTATTAGTAATAAAAAAAGTTAAAAAATCCCACCAACAGTCCAGCTCCAGTTGAATTTACTGGTGAATTTTTCCAAACAAGTAAAGCAGAATTAATTAACAACAGTTCCAAAACTCTTCCAAAACATAAAATAGGAGGGAACACATCCCAACTCACTCTATAAAGTCACTATTACCCTAAGATCAACATGAGACAAATACAATACAAGGAAACTACAAATTTCCCTTATGACTACAGACATAAAAATCCTTAAAATATTAGCAACCCAATTCAGCAGTATGAAAAACTGATTATACAACATAATCAACTGCAATTTATCCCAGAATGCAAGGTTAATTCAAAATACAAAAATCATTCAATCTAATACCGTATCATATTAATAGAATAAAGGACAAACTCTATGACCACCTCAATATATGCAAAAAATGTATTTGACAAAATGCCACACCCTTTCACAATAATGCTTGAAGCAAGTACAAACTAGGAACAGAAGGGAACTTTCTCAACCTGATAAAGAGCATCTACCGAAAGCTCAAGTCAATCTCTCACCCTGAGATCAGGGATAAGATTAAGGCAGCTGCTACCTTCAATACTGAACTGGCAGAGTTTCTAGCTGGAGCGACTGGAATGAAAAAATAAAGCTTCCAGATTGGAAAGGAAGAAATAAAATGATCTCTATTTGCAAACGATATGGTGTCAGCAATGTAGCAAAGTGACTAGATGCAACATTAGTTTGCAAAACTCAATTATATCTATAAAATAGGACTGATGCATCCAAAAACTAAATTAAAATAACCATTCCATTTACAATAGCATCAAAAAGAATAAAATATTTAGGGATACATTTAACAAAAGAAATACAAGACTTGTACACTGACAACCATAAAATCACGGAAGAAAACTAAAGGAGACCTAAATAAATGGAAAAATACTTCATGTTCATGAACTGGAAGACATAATCTTGTTAGGGTGGTAATGCTTCCAAAGTTGATCTACATATTTAATGCAACCCATATTAAAATCCTAATGGGTTCTTTTGCATAAACTGACAAGTTCATTCTAGAATTAATATGGAATTGAAAAGGACCCAGAATAGTCAAAACAAGCTTTAACATAACAAATTTGAAGGAACAACCCTTAGCAACTTTGAAACTTACTATAAAGCAACAGTATGGAGATAGCGTAGTACTGGCCTAAAAACAGATGTATAGATCAAGGGAATAGAAGTTAGAATCCAGAGAAAAACCAACCATGCATCTATGGTACAGTGCTTTTCAACAATAGCATCAAGACAATTCAATAGAGAATGAAATGCCCTTGAACAAATGGTATTGGAACAACTGGATAGTAACAAACAAAAGAAAAAAGAAAAAAAGAAGTGTAACCCCTTCCTCACACCATATGCAAAATTCATTCAAAATGGTTAAAGATCTGATTATAATAGCTAAAACTACGAAACTCTTAAAAGACATAGGATTAAAACTTTGTGACTGTTGATTACACAATTCTTTTGAAGACAAGACACCTAAAGCACCAGCAACAAATTGAAAATACAAATTAGACTTTATCAAAGTTTAAAATGTGTACTTTAACAGACACTATTTAAAAACACAAAAACATAATGGAAGACAATGTTTACAAGTCAAATAACTGGTAAGAGTCTAGTATGCAGAATGTATTAAAAAAAAAAAACCTCTTCCAACTCAGTAATAAAAGTGCTAACCCAATTTTAAAAATGGGCAAAAAACTTGACTAGGCATTTCTACAAAGAAGGTATGCAAATGGCCAACAAATACATGGCAAGAAGTTCAACATCATTAGTCACTTGGGAAATGCATATCAAAACCACAGTGAGAATCCACTTCACACAGACCGAGAGGATTGAAAACATACGCTCACAGAGAAACTTATCCAGGGATGTTCATAACGGCATATTTCAAAATTGCAAGTAAGTGGAAACTACCTAAATATCCATCAACTGATGGGTACACAAGTGGTATAGCCACACAATGGAATATTACTCAACCATAAAAAGGAATGAAGTATTGATACATTCCATAATATGAACAAATCTGGAAAACATTGAACAACTAATGAATGAAGCCAAACACAAAATGTCACTTAGTGTATTATTCCACTTATATAAAATGTTCAGAATAGGCAAATTCAGAGAGACAGGACATAGATTAGTGATTTCCAGTGACTGAATGTGGTCTCTTAATGGATACGGAGTGATGAAATGCAAAATTACAGTGTTGATGGTTGTATAAACTTGCTAATATACTAAAAACTACTGCATTGTATGCTTTTAAGGAAAAATTTTAAGGCATGTGAATTTACCTCAATAAAAAATTATACAAAGTTTTTACTTGCTATACCTTATGTGGCTACTGTAAAATCTTATGAATCCAAAACCTTTATGATATATAGATCTCATTTGAAGAAAGTTTTGGTATATTTGAACAGCATATATTAAATAACATGTTAATTATCATGTAATAATACGAAAACACTATAGGCGACTTTAATTATATAACTTCAGAAATAACTATTTTTTGCATACTTAAGCAGGTACAGAATTAGACCTGGATGAATCTAACCAACGGAAACAACTCAACCCATTGTCACAGAAGGAAAGGCCTCAGGAGACAAGGGTGACTGAAAACATTAGCCTCTGGACAGACTGATAACATTTAAACAAATGCTAACTACTTTCTTAAAATTACTGAAAATCTATTAATACCTGGATAATTTGGTGATCCCACTATTTTCAGCGAATCTTGGGTCAAGCTAAAACCTCTTGGTAGTCGAATCAAATCTCCAACTATCAAAAACAAACAAAAAAAGAAAGAAAGAAATGAGCAACAATCTGCCTTATGTGAAATTCCAAAGACATTCAAATAGGACATTATCAGAGTATATTCCATCTTGGTTGAAAGGGAAGCCGTAACGTCCCTTGACACTTGGCAACCCTCTTCCAATTCTTCTCCCCTGATAGGCTCCAGTGGAAATCATCTATCCACTGCTGCCCCTATTGTATCTTGCCCCCAGAGATAATACTCAGAACACTCTTTTCATCTGTAAGAGTCCAAATCTGGCTCCATCCAGACCCAGATCACACGTGGCCTCCTCCTTCAAACCTTCTGTTTGTACTATTTTAACATTCCGCAACGCATCATCAGCACCTTTCCCATAACACCCACTCTACACTGTATTACAGTTGTTTGTGCACACGTAGAATTTTCCTTATTAGATTAAAAGCTCCATTGCTAGCAGGATCAGTGTTTATGTCAACTTATGAAGAATCAGAATCAACCACTATATCTTGCACATAATAAACATTAAGTGATGATTGTTAAATAGGAAATATCCTGACATTCTCCCTCATTGTTGAAATGCGATGGACATAATCGTGCGCACAGAGCCCGTGGGAGGGGCGGTACAAAATGCCATAAAGCACCACTCAAATCACCTTACTAGGGAGTAAAGGACAAGAGCATGGTATTCACACGGAGTCTAAATCCTAAGGGCCGGTTCTTGGTCTTGGGAAAGTCACTTTAAAGTCTAGTTTCGGTTTTCTCATGTGCAGAATGAGACTGAATTCAGACGAGCGCGGCTGCTGCAGGAACTGAAGGGGCCGCTGTGTAAACCGTCAAGACCCGTCTTCACCGGCTCTACCTGCTCTCGTGCCGCTGCTACCAAGTCCGACCTCACTGGCTCCAGACAAGGCCGCAGGGACCCTGCCCTCGCTGGGGTGGGCCCCTGGGCAGGGCCGGAAGGGCCTTCTCAGGGGGTCCAGGCTCCTGGCGACTCCCCGCCTGCGCAGTCGCGACACGGAGACTTGGGTGCACTCGCCCCTCCACTCCGCTTCCTTCCTCCGCCTCATCCCGGGCCGCCTGTCCACGCTCATGTTTTCGGGGGGCCCCTTTCCACTCCCCCTTACTTCAGCAACTCTTCGCACCCTAAACTCGTCACGTGCACGCTTCCCCCTTCTTCTCTTCCCCGAGGAGGAGCCGCGTGGTCCTCAGAGTGCTCGGTCCCACTGCTCCAAGAGGAGGCCCGGCCTGCGGCCCACAGTGCTGCTTCCCCGCCACGTGCGGCTCGACGTCGTCACCCGCCAGCCAGCTCGGCCGCACCCCCGTCCGTCCCGCCTCGCCCCGTCCCAGCCGCGCCCCACCCCAGGCACTGGGGGCCAGGCTGGGCCGTTCTCCTCGCACAGCCGGGCTCCCCGCGCTGCGCCAGGGGCACGGGGCTCCCCCCCCACCCCGGGACACTTATTTTCAGAAGCCGGGGTCCGAGCACAACCAGACAGCCGGCACCTCCGGGACGGATCGCCCCCGCGCGACCCCCAGCAGCCGGGCTTCGGGCCGGGCGGGAAGGGACGTCGGTTCAGCGGCTCCGGCGCAGCCCGCGCCCGTCCGGCAGGGGGCCGGGGGCAGGGGGCCGGGGGCAGGGGGCCGGGGGCAGGGGGCCGGGGGCAGGGGGCCGGGGGCAGGGGGCCGGGGGCAGGGGGCCGGGGCGGCGGCGCCAGCGGGCTGCGGGCTGCGGCGCCGGGACGGCCGCTCCCCGCCCCGTTACCAGCCCCACCGGAGCCCCGGGCCAGCGGGGGCCCTCGACGACCCCCGCCAGGGCCCCGTCCGGGCTCCGCTGGTGGACGGGGCGCAGCACGTGCCCCAAACGCCCGCCCGGGCCCGCCCGCCTCACCTGCCAGCGGCGCCCGCACTACCAAGGCGGACAGCAGGAGGAAGAGCGCGGCCCGGGTCAGCGGGGAGCCCGGGGCCCGCCGCCCGCCCCGCCGCGCCCGGCCGGGGGCCGAGGCCTCCATCCACTCGCCGCCCGCCACCTGCCCACCGTCGGCGCAGACGGTCGTTAGCCCGCGCGCGCCCACTCGCACTCCGGAAGCCGGCGGGCGGAGCATGGGAATGGCGGCCGGAAGGACAATGGCGGCCGGAGACAATGGCGGCCGAATGACGATGGCGACCGGAAGGAAGGGCCCCACTTCCGCCAGTGCAGGGGGCTGGGCGGGGCCGGGTCAACATGGCCGCCAGAGGGTCGTCGTGAGGCTGCGCGAGAGGGCTGTGTCCCCTGCTCTGCTGGACGCCCCCTGGGAGCACGCGCCACTGTTGAAGGTTCCGGAGCGAGCGAGGGACTGACCGCGCCCGGAGCCCGCGCCTTCCCCTGGCTGCACGGGTGCTGGGCCTGCGGAAGGCCCTTGCGGGCCAGACCTGCGCAGGCGCAGTGGGCACTGAGGCAGGCCCTGCGCCCACAGCCCTGGGAGCAGGGCCTGCGTCTCCTCCTGGCGGCCCGGGTGCTGTGGGACGTCTACACCCTGCTGGGTTGATGAGTGCAACGCACGCGAGACAGGATTGCAAGCACGGCCTGTAGCCCCGGGAGTGAGCTACAGTGCAGACGAAGCCGCCTTGCAGGACCCTGGTTTTCATGCAACACGCGGCCTGGAAGGTCGGCCTTTATCACGTGGGTTCAGGCGAATGTATACAATCACCTCTCGGCCCAGGAGGGCAGGTATGGCCAGGACGTGTGCAAGAGAATCAGAACGTGTGCTTTCGGACGCTGGCAGGATTTACTCGATGGGGACAGAGAGACGATAGAAATACAGCTTATCCAGTTGGGCAACTACACCGAAGAATGAAGTTTCCAGCAACTGAAGACACAACGCCCGAGGACAGGGTGCGTTGTCACCTGTCAGGAAGCCCCGAGTGGCCCAATGGGTTACAGTTCTAGCTGTTGCTAAGTAACAGGGGTTCTGTTTTGTTTGTATCCTGGTCTGTTACTGACTATAGGTCCTTTGGTCAGGGAAAAAAACAAACAAACCGAAAAACCTTACCTTAAAAGGAAAATAAAACAAGAATCTACTTGGTCAACATTTTTTAGCCAAGTCAATACTATTGTGATAAGGTAACCAGTTCTCAACTATTGGAAGTATACATTTTGTCATTAAAGAGAAAGAAGTCATCAGAAACACTTTATTTACAATCGACCCAAATTCTAAAGAGAGAGGCTATGGATGTGCATTCACAGTACACACCTGGAAAGATAAGTATCTCTGAACGGTCCATTCTTTCAGGAGCAAAGGCTGTTGAGAATATAGATTACCCACATTACTCTAATCTCCTAAGAAAAATGAACATGCCTTTTGTGAAAGGAGTTGAGGACAGACATGACTATGGCAGAATTGAAAAGAAATGTAACCCTGCGTTTCTTAAATTTCACCCTTACCCCCCATCAATTATGCCAGATTATCATTTATACTATCCTTATCCTCCACCGTATGGGCCAGATTATCCTTTATTTCCACTCCGTGATGATGTACCCTTAGGTGATCCCTGTTCAGGGTTCTTGAGTGCTGGTGGTGATGCTGATTTAAAGCCTGGCATTGGCAGAACCATCCCAAGCCTGGTGGATTTTAGTGATGTGAAACCTCAACATCGAGTTCCCAGGCCAGATACAGGATATCAGACAACACTAAAAAGGCAAAAAATTTTATTGGAAGAACTGAAACAAGACAGGAAGTGGAATTCCAGGGCACGACCAGACATTTCCATCAGAGCAAGACTTGGAGGTAAATAAAAGGAAACTATAGTTTTTAAACATTGAAATAAGGGAGAAGAGCATGGATGTAAGATTCATTGTTTAGTAGTTAATTTAACATAACGTTGTAAAGAACCGAATAAGAAAATGTTATATTTTGAAGTTCCAGTTTGTAAGGGAAAAGTAGCAAAAATGATGACCCTCTTATAAACCTATGTGAAAATAATATTTGGTTTATAAAAGTGCATTCATTAATATAAGTGACCATTAATATAAGTGTGTCAGATAATTTAGTCTAGATATAAAGATAATCTAATTTTACCACAAGGCAAACAATATTTGACTTTAATAATTGTGTAGCATGCCTCCTTATCTTTCTTTGGGAAGAAATCTGATGTTTATGCAAGAGTTAGGTTACAGGGGCTGAAATGAAATGGGAAAGTAGTTGGAAGTAAATTTTGGCTTCTGGTAAGAACAGGAGCTGAGAAGCAACGCCTGCAGAAATAGCTCTACACAACCAGGCAGGCACAACTGACAACCCCTGTTGGCAGCTATCATTATGCTTCTTCTGTAAACACTCCCAGAGAGTGTCATAAGCCTGGCCCAGAAGTGCTGAGATTTCCTTAGGAAAGCCACAGGAAATATTCTTGTATGGAAATGTGTCTGGCAGACAGGGAGTGGAAAGAGATTAACCTCTTTGAACATGTGGGAAGGAAAAGGCCAGATGCTGAGCTTCCTCTCGCACCAGAGGCTGCACTAGCCTTGTGCTCCCCCTCCTCAGCACCCAGCCTAGACCAGAGGCCGAAGGAAACAGTGTGGGGAAGGACCATGGCAGCAGCATATGGTGGACAAGTGGGGATTCATGGTTCCTACCACTACACCAAGAGAAGCCATAGGCAATTGAGACCAGAAGGGGGATTAGAAAGAAGGTAAAGGTAATAGAAATGAATAACACCACAATATCACACTTCCCAGCCCTACCCTCCAGGTACCCACTTTTGAACCAGAAAGAGCCATTTGGAGAGAGATAAGCATAGGCTAAGAATTGTGCTTTTAATATGCATTCCAGTTGTAAACCTGGCAGGAGGCTTAGGGAAATTCCTCAGTTTGGAATTTTCATATGAAGAGTATAAATAAGGTTCAACTACTATTTTTAAGAAATAATTATTTTACAGTCTACTGGAAGAACTACTTAGGGGAAAATGGTATTACTAAGAATCAAATTCACTTGTATCTACAGATGATAAATGCTATCCAAGGTGCAGAAATGTTTTAAGTATGTGCATGAAGGGACCAGTGTCCATCTCATACAGCGCATTTCACCAGTTCTGAACCAGTGACTATTCTGATGTTTCAGCAAAGGCCTTAAGCTCAGTCTTTTGCTAATATTTCAGTGTATAATAGTATTCACTGTCCAGGATACTTCCTTAAAGGAACTGAATTGATTTTTCATAGTAGTCCCATTGTAGGCAAGTTTGCCATTTTACTTGTAAGCAGAAAACCCTAACCTAATATTGGGATGTTTCTCAAAGTTTTACTGAGAACTGTATTCCAACAAATTACAAGTTGAATAAATAGATTATTAAAGCTAATTTCTGACTAAAACAGGGTTCACAGAGGTGGCACCAACCACTCAGAACCAAGTATAGAGCTCATCTGGCCTCTGCATTGCATGACCTGGATCAGCACAACAGAATTCAGAATATAGGCTCTTGAGTCAGACTGTCTAGGCTCAAATCCAGGCAAAAAGCTTACTTTCACTATGACTTTGGACTTGTTGCTAATCTCTTTATGCCTGTGTATCCTTAATTGTAAAATAAATCTGCATGCTAGTAATACTTCATGAGATTTTAGTAAGGGCCATTTAGTGTAACTCATGTAAAGATATCTGACATGAAGGAATGAACCAATAAATGTCAGATATAAAGTTAAGAAAAGTCTAGAGTTTTTAGTTTCTTTACACTTAAATTGGCAATAATAGTATTTTTCTTAGGAAATTTTAAGAAATAATGAATTAAGACATGTAAAATTCTTAGCAAAATTCCTGGAACCTGGTAAAGCAACAGTAAATAATATTTGTTATTATTAGCTGTTAACATTTCCAAAGAGTAGTACCAGCAGTTCGGGGATTGTTTCAATATAATTTGTCCTAGGATTTCAGTGACTTTGTAGATCCTGGAAAGAGTCATTAATTATAAATGAGTACCCTCAGTTTTTAGCAAACCTAAATACACATGGTTCCTAATACATCCTGATAAGCACATCTTCTCAGAATTAATTGTATCACAGCCTAGTATGCTTTCCAGTGGGCTTTCAGAAATATCAAAGCCAAATCATAAACGATCAGATAGCTGACTTCTTGCCCAATTTCGACCTTGTCTAGACATTTAACTGGGTGCAGTATTTCCATTGTTGTTCAGAGTTGGCTTTCTTTTTCACGCACCAATCAAATGTTCCAAACTTAGTCTAATTATATATTCAAACCCTTTACTGGTTGATCTCTTTGCAGAAAATGACACAGTCATCCTTGTCACAGAGAAAAAAGAGGTTGCCTATTGTGATCTCCATGATTTTCCTACCTTAATCCTCCTCATGTCAATATTTATAACTCTTTGTATGTCTTCCTATCTTTCAAAAATCATTGTCTTAGCTTGAGCTGCTATGACAATATACCACAGCCTGGGTGGCTTAAACAACAGGCCTCTTTTTCTCACAGTTCTAAAGGTTGGGAAGTCCAAGATCAAGGTGTGAGTTGGTTTAGTTCCTGCTGAGAGCCCTCTTTCTGGCTTGCAGAAGTCTAGCCTTAGGTTGTTTTCTCACATGGCAGAGAAAGAGAGGGAGCGAGCTCTGTCTCCCTCTTCTTAAAAAGACCCCAGTCCTGTGATGGGAGCCCCACCCTCATGACCTGTTCTAAACCTGATTACCTCCCAAAGGCCCAACCATCACTTTTTGGGTAAGTGCTTCAACATATGAATTTTGGGGGTATAAGAACATTCACTCCATGACAACCATCTTAACCATTTTTTTTTTTTAATCCTCACCCGAGGACATTTTTCCATTTTTTGTACAGACAGAGTAGGAGGGAGAGAGAGGAAGAGAGAGAGAGGGAAACATCGATGTGAAAGGGACACATCAAGTGGCTGCCACCCGCACGACCAACCAGGGCCGGGGACAAACTGCAACCGAAGTACATGCCCTTAGCGGGAACCGAACCCGGGTCTCTACGGACCGCAGGCGGACGTTCTAACCTCTGAGCCAAACCGGCCAGGGCTATCTTAACCATTTTTAAGTGTATAGTTAATTGGTGTTAAATATAGCATTGTGCAACCATGACCACAATCCATAAATTTTTCATCTTGCAAAACTGAAACTGTATACCCATTAAACGCTCGGTCCCTGGTGCTCCCCTCCTCCTCCTCCTGGAAACCAGTTTTGCTTTCGGTCGCAGTGAATTGGACTACTCCAGATACCTCAGTATAAGTAAAATCGTATAGTATTTGTCTTTCTGTGACTGACATATTTCACTTAGCACAGTGTCATCATGGACAACAATGTCCATGTCTCAGCATGTGTCAGAATTTTTTTCCCTTTTAAAGTTGAATCATGTTCCATTTTTGGTATACACTACTTTTTTGTCCAGTCATCCATCAGTGGGCACTTGGGTTGCTTCACCTCTTGGTTGCTATGAACACACATGTTAAAACATCTCTTCCAGACCCTGCTCTCAATTCTTTTAGTAGGTACCCAGAGGTAGAATTGCTCAATCCCATGGTAATCCTCGTTCAGTTGTTTGGGGAGTTAGCATCCTGTTTCTCACAGCAACTGCAGCATGTTACAGTCCCACCCACAGTGCACAATTCCCATTTTTTGCATTCGAGGAATAAAACCCACTTGGCCATAGTGTATAATCCTCTTGGTGTGCTCTGAAATTCTGTTCTCTAGAACATTGTAGAGGATTTTGCATTCGTGTTTACCAGGGATAAGATCTAGCTTTTGTATCCGTGTAATGTTGGCTTCATAGAGTAAATTTCGAAGTGTTCCCTCCTGGTTAATTTTTTTAGAAGAGCCCGTGGAAGATTGGTGTTAATTCTTCTTTAAATGTTTTGTAGAATTCACCAGAGAAGCCGTCTGGTCCTTTTCCTTTGGGTAGGCTTTGGATTACAGAGTCAATCTCCTTAATAGTTACAGTTCTGTTCATATTTTCTGTTTCTTCATGATTCAGTCTGCATAGGTTATGTGATCCCGGTAGTCTGTCCATTTCATCGAGGTAATACAATTTGTTGGTGTAGAATCTCTTATAATTTTTATTTCTGTAAAATCACTTGTAATGTTTCCTCTCTCATTTGTGATCTTATTTGAACCTTCTTTTTCTCTGAGTCAATCTAGCTGTCAATTTTGTTGATCTTTTCGAAGAACCAACTCTTGTTTTCATTGATTTTCTCTATTTTTCTATTCTGTATTTTGTATCTATGCTCTAATCTTTATTATTTCCCTCCTATCCTAGCTTTGGGTTTAGTTTGTTGTTTTTCTGGCATAATACTGTGTAAATTTAGGTTGTTTATTTGAGATCTTTCGTCTTTAATGTAAGGATTTATACCTATAAATTTCTCTCAGCATTACTTTTGCTGAATCCCATTACTTTTGTTATGTTGTGTTTTCATTTACATTTGTCTCAAGATAATTCCTAACTTCCCAATAATGAGTAATAAATAACAAGTAATTCTGCATTATTGTAATAATTTGAACATGTACATGTCAGACCTATTCTGTTCTCACTGATGAGAAAAATTATTTGATAAGCCATTGAAAATCAATTAATAGCATATATTTTAGCTTTCTTATCAGAAATGTTTCTGGTGGAAGAAGAAATACTTACTGCAATCTAACTGGAAGCGGGTCCCTGCTTGTTTTCAGGCTGGACAAGCTCACAGAAGGTCACTCCTTCACAACCTCGTCATGAAGGGTGCTCGGTAAACCACACGTACACATTTGATGAGGAAGCAGCATGTACAGTAAGACTTTCTTCCTGTGTAATACAGTATTTGTAATTTATTTTATTTTCTGTGTTTTTGATATTTTGAGCCTTGTAAAAACAGTGAACATTTACAAAATATGTCTTATGTGCCGGGCACTGTGCAGACCTTCACAAACATTGTATATTGTGCAGTACCTTGTGCCATCCCTCCCACTATGCTTTGGGGGAAGACTGAGTTGTAGAGGCTGGTGGTGTCCAATACAGACCCCTTTGACTGGCAAGTGCACCTCCTCCGGTAGCAGGAGTCATGGCTGCATATGCTGATGGCCACCAGCCCCCGAGGACGTGAATTACCGGCTGGAAGGAGATAACATGTCTCCAAACAGATGAACAGAAATGTATCCCCTCCTAAACAAATTATATTGAAACTGTAGAAAAACAGAAACAAATACCCTAACACAGGAGGGGGATGGAAGACACAGAACCCCTGCAAACAATTAAACTCAATGCCGTCCAAAGTCAACTGAACGGTACAGTCCAAACTCAATGAGACGTGTTTGTTATTAAATGGTCATAGCCATTAAACTAGACTCCTAAACCCATCTAGAACTTTATTCAGACATGAAGATGGGTTAAAAAATAGATATGGAAGAAGTTCACATCCCGGAAATAATTACTGAAAATTGAACTTTAGTGGAGAAAGAACAGAACCAGGAACCAAGGGGGAAAAACCAAGGAGGACAAATGAACCAAAGTAGGCAAAAAGGACAGGTGAAATGTGGGAGAAATCTAAACAATCAGTAACTATGTAGTAAAGATAGTGATGCCAGTGGTTATGACAACCATTCATTCAATAACTTTGATGAAATAAGAGGAAAGGTAGGAAGAGGGTACTATTTGGAAACAAATGTCCTTATATTGTTAGATTAGACAGAGTGGAGTTTTTAAAATGTAATTTCATGAAACTGAACGCTATCTGCCAACATTTAAAATTCAAGAGTTTTCCCATAAAAATCTGACTTTCTGTTAACTTTAATATACATTTTGTAAATTTTAATCATTATGAGAATATATACAAAATGTAAATTTCCAAGGCAATAGAGGAAAGTAGGAAAGTATACACTTGTTGATCCAAAAGATGCTATAAAAGAAGAAAAATGAAGAGAGAGGAAGCAGAGAGCATGGCAAATACATGGCATTATCCATTCCCACTTATGTCTGATCTCTTTTATTATTTATTCCTTCTAGGATGATGGAGAACCACATTTACAATCAAATAAGAAATATAGTGCCAAGGACTCATTTTATAAGTCCTCTACACAAAAGTAAGAATTTTTCCAAATAGAATTTTGATTTAAAAATTTATCTCATTTATCTTTAATGATATATCTCCTATGTGCCTACATTATCCTGAATCCTATGTAAAATTCAGAGAGCACCAGATTCAGATATTTAGTTACTTCTGTTGATTGCTAATATAAACAGGTCAAGGAAGAGTTTTAAAGAATTCCATGTTTAATAGAAGAGTAAAACCAAAACAGAAAGGGAATGCTCAGAGAGAGGAGAAATGAGGGCAGCATAATAGCAAACAGGAGCAGAGAAAGCTTGAAGGAGAATTCATTTACTCGGCAAAAAATGCTTAGTGGACCTACTATGTGTCTATGCCCTAAACTGTGATATTCATCAGTGACTAAAGCAAAGATCTCCCATCTCAAAGAGCTCAAGTTCTAACAGGAATGGACAATAAGCAACACATAATAAGTGAATATATCACATCTTAGACAGAGATGAGTCTATGAAAAAGTAAAAGAGATGCCGTCATCTAGGTCAGAGGTAACAGTGACTTAGGGGAGGATGGTAAAGTCGTAAGCAGTGGTTGGGTTCTGAATGTATTTTCAGAGGAGAACCAATACCATTTCCAGCTTGGAGATTATGAGTGTGAGGAAAAGGAGTCAGGGATGACTCCCAGGTCAGGGCTGTGCGGCTGGACATAGTGAACATGCCATCACTTAACACCATGAAGACAAGGTGCCACAGGTCTGGGGGAAAGCTCAGAAGTCAGATTTGGACGTGCTGAACATCCGAGTGCTCTGTCGTGGGGCCGTAGCGTGCATTGATCTGGGGTCCTGGTCTGGGGATGGGCATGTGAAGACACCTCGCTGGATGAGAGCACCAAGGGAGAGGAGCACGGAGAGAGGTAGCGGTCTGGAGTCCTGGCCCCTCGACGTAATTTATTTTCCTGTGAACTGGATGATGTATAGAAGTATATGCTTTCATTTCCTACCGCTGTGTATCAAATGGCCACAAATTTAGCAGCTTTAAACCACACCCATTTATGAGTTCACAGTTCTTGAGCTCAGAATTTCAGGCATGCTCCAACTGGGCTCAATGCTGCGGTTTCTGTAGCCTGGAGTCCAGGGGTCAGCTACAACCTCATCTTCAGCGTCATTCAGATCGTTGGCAGAATTCAGTTCGTTGCAGCTGCAGGACTCACGCAGTTTGTTCAAGGACTGCTTTGGAGTGTCTGCTGCTGTTTTTGTCTTTTTTTAGGATTCACCAGTTTAGATCAGACACACTTAGAATCATCTGCCTTTTGATGAATTGAAATTCAACTTTTTAGTGACCTTAATTACAAGTGCGTAATCCCTTTTGTCATATGAAGTCGCCACACAAAGTATCACGAGAGTGATACTCTATCACATCCACTTGCTCTGCCCACACCGGAGGGGAAATGATTATCCATGTCATGCACGGCAGGGGGAGGGATCTTGGGGGACACCTTAGAATTCTGTGTATCACATTGTATAGTAATTGTGGTGTACTGTACCAGTTGAATATGTATTGTTCATAAAAAATGTCATCAATAATTTCATAGAGCTTATGAAAGTGTTCCTTGGGATGAGATGCTGCCACCAAAACCCGATCCAGGAGAAACGACGTTGGAGAGAGCTGCGGACCTCGTCTCGCAGCGTTTCACGCGGAAAAGATACGAAAGGACGCCGGCATTAACCCAGGTCAGAGCACACCCGGTGCAGTGTGCGCACTGCTGAGCGACGTCAGGCGCACTGGAGGGTCAGGGATTGTGGGGACGAGGAAGTACATACACGCCCAGACCTGAAAGTGCCGTGATCGTGGGAGACATCGGTGACCTCAGACACTGATGTCATCTGTGTTACATCTCAGGGATTTTATTTAGGACTACTGCTTTCTCAAAAGTCATTTGCACCAACTTCATTTTAAAAATTGAAACAAGGAGTACACAACAAAGACACCAGAAGTGATGACTGTTCCACCAGAGAACCTATGCTGAGGGCAGTTTTTGGAACTGAACTGAGAAGCAGCCTCTACTTTTCAAGACAGAACAGGAACATCCTCGAGTCTCGGAGCTCTTCTGACCTAGTAAACACAGCCCGCCTCGCTGTCCGCAGAGACGGCCGTTCTGTCCCTTCCGATTGCCAGGGATTCATCTGAACACGGGGATTCTTGTAGCCACACTGCTGGGGAGCCTTTCCTGGGTCCCCCGACGGAACCCGGCACCTTATGCAGAGTGAGCCCTCTGAACCGGCACATGCTCAGCTTTCTCCTGGCCCAGCACCCCTCCTCAGCCCACCCCTCCTGCTCCTGCTGGTCCTCGTCCAGCCTGCCAGCCACACACGCTCCCTGCCACCTCGTCTCCGTCAGCGCGGTCTGTGCCGACCTCTCGGCCCTCGTCTGCCGTGCTCTTCCTCAGGCCTTGGCTTTGAGAACTGGTGTCCCCTGCCGTTGTCGATGTTTCTCCAGGCTAAATCCCAAGAGTCCATCAGATCTTAGACCTCACTTTCAACCTCCCAGCATTCCCTGCTCTGTGCCGGATCGCCTTCTGTTGACACCCCATCCTCCCTGCCGTAGCTCATGTCTCAGTGGTCTGCAGGCCCTGGGACTGCCACTCACAACGGGGTTTGTAACATCTGTGAGGCCCACGGGACCCAGAGGAGACCGGTCCCACCGCACACTGTCCAGACACGGCCCAGGGGACCCAGAGCAGACCGGTCCCACCGCACACTGTCCCGACACGGCCCACGGGACCCAGAGGAGACCGGTCCCACCGCACACTGTCCCGACACGGCCCACGGGACCCAGAGGAGACCGGTCCCACCGCACACTGTCCCGACACGGCCCAAGGGACCCAGAGGAGACCGGTCCCACCGCACACTGTCCCGACACGGCCCAGGGGACCCAGAGGAGACCGGTCCCACCGCACACTGTCCCGACACGGCCCAGGGGACCCAGAGGAGACCGGTCCCACCGCACACTGTCCCGACACGACCCACGGGACCCAGAGGAGACCTGTCCCACCGCACACTGTCCCGTCACGGCTGAGGGAACCCAGAGCAGACCGGTCCCACCGCACACTGTCCCGACACGGCCCAGGGGACCCAGAGGAGACCGGTCCCACCGCACACTGTCCCGACACGGCCCAGGGGACCCAGAGGAGACCGGTCCCACCGCACACTGTCCCGTCACGGCCCAGGGGACCCAGAGGAGACCTGTCCCACTGCACACTGTCCCGACACGGCCCAGGGGACCCAGAGGAGACCGGTCCCACCGCACACTGTCCCGACACGGCCCAGGGGACCCAGAGCAGACCTGTCCCACCGCACACTGTCCCGACACGGCCCAGGGGACCCAGAGGAGACCGGTCCCACAGCACACTGTCCCGACACGGCCCAGGGGACCCAGAGGAGACCGGTCCCACCGCACACTGTCCCGACACGGCCCAGGGGACCCAGAGGAGACCGGTCCCACCGCACACTGTCCCGACACGGCCCAGGGGACCCAGAGGAGACCGGTCCCACCGCACACTGTCCCGACACGGCCCAGGGGACCCAGAGCAGACCTGTCCCACAGCACACTGTCCCGACACGGCCCAGGGGACCCAGAGGAGACCTGTCCCACCGCACACTGTCCCGACACGGCCCAGGGGACCCAGAGGAGACCGGTCCCACCGCACACTGTCCCGACATGGCCCAGGGGACCCAGAGGAGACTGGTCCCACCGCACACTGTCCCGACATGGCCCAGGGGACCCAGAGCAGACCGGTCCCACCGCACACTGTCCCGACACGGCCCAGGGGACCCAGAGGAGACTGGTCCCACCGCACACTGTCCCGACACGGCCCAGGGGACCCAGAGCAGACTGGTCCCACCGCACACTGTCCCGACACGGCCCAGGGGACCCAGAGCAGACTGGTCCCACCGCACACTCTCCCATCACGGCCCACGGGACCCAGAGCGGACCGGTCCCACCGCACACTGTCCCGACACGGCCCAGGGGACCCAGAGGAGACCGGTCCCACCGCACACTCTCCCATCACGGCCCACGGGACCCAGAGCAGACTGGTCCCACCGCACACTCTCCCATCACGGCCCACGGGACCCAGAGCGGACCGGTCCCACCGCACACTGTCCTGACACGGACCCACAAGGCTCACCAACCACCAACCAAGATGCCCACCTTATCTTGAACATCTGCCTGTGCTTTGACAGAGAAAAATAATAAGTGAGAAAAAAACAGCTTTAAAATAGTCTCATCGGGGAATTTCACACAGAAATTAAAATCCGTTAAAGGACAAATAAAGGTGCCTGGCTTGCAACTGTGTTTAAGGTTCTCTCAACTATATGAACGTATCACATCCTGAGAAAGTGGGTCATTTTATTACTGGTATCCAGAGTCCTTCCCGGCAAGATGAGGTTCCAAGCTCAGGGGTGGGCTGGGCAGAAAGGGGAGACCAGGCTGGGGCAGACGGGCTGGGTCTCTGGGTGAAAACCAAAGGCAGACCTTTCAGAAGAGCTTAGTCCTAAAGGAGGGGGGACGAGGCAGGTTCCAGCTAAGAGGAAGATGGACCTGAGGTCTGAGACCTCGCCGAGCCCCGCTGTGGCTCTGCAGCACCCCCAGAGCCGCCAAGGTGCTGGGGAGCGGCATGGGGCGTCTGGGCTCGCCCGTGGACGAAGGGGACAGGAGGACCACTGCAGCTAGTGTCGCAGGAATGGCCGCATCGGAGCTTGTGTGCCAGACAGGGTCCTGTCCGCTAACTGCCCGTGTCCGTTCTGCTTTCAGATGGTTGGTGGACTCTGGGACAGATTTCAGACAAGACGCTTCCTGGCGCCCGTCAAGCCAATTAATTTGTAAGTTTTCCCTCCTAATGTTCTTATCACCACATTGTTGATGTCGCCCATCTGTCATCAAGAGTGTGGTGCTCTAGCTGGGTGGGAGAGCACCCGGAGGCCCGCAGGCGCACCCCAGTTCATTGCTCCGTGCCCCGCTCCTCGCGGGCCCGTAGGCCCCCGGAGCGTCGGCTGTGCAGTGCACCGCGGCAGCTCAGCAGGCGGGAGCCTCCAGGAAGACACGAAGACTTCCCATGTGGCAGTTTGTGAACTGCGAGGGGTTGTCAATGGTTTTCTGTCAAACTCTGTGTCATGTAGTTCTTTTGGGCTCCATTAATGCTAAAAACTATGGCTTATTATGAACCCTTCCACATGGGCACGTTTTCCATTTCGTCTGAGAAATGGCTTTCCTGCTTTTGAAAGTCGTTTATTGTTTCCCCGCTATGACCCGCGGGGCCTATCACTAAGGAAGGGCACAGCGAAAGGGGCACGCGTGAGGGGGTGTGCACCGGGCGGGGTCACGGCCTCAGCAAAGGCCTGTGTCCATGGCAGCCGGAGTCCACGGGCCAGGGCTTTGATTTTCACTTAGAACTACATCTTTAAATGATTTCTGTTTAAGATGAGAAACTTCCAGAGGCCAGTCTCTGTGAGATGGCTGTGAAGACTGTTTTTATTTGAATAAGAGAAATACTGTAATGAGCTGATGTTTGTTAACGTCAGTGAGTCAATCACCCATATTTTCTCTTTTTCTCAGCGTGAGTCCAAGTTCCAGAAGCAAATACATTCCTCTCTACACGTAAGTAATGTTTCTTAATGTTTTAAAAGTTACTGGATTTACATCTAGATTGTTTGTAACTCGTGTTTTATGACAACGTGCACGTCCTAGCAGATTTCTAGCGTGTTCCCAGCCTGGCCTGTTTAATGTGAGGATGCCATTGGGCACTGTTCCAGGCTTCAATATGGAAGGGGGTTGGCATTTTTAGGTTCCCCCAGATTGGTTATTCCGGAAATGAAATACCCCGGGTGCTGCCGATACAGGTGTTGTCAGCCAGAAAGATGCTGCTTCTTGATGCAGGAGATGCGATGTGCACCCAAGCTCCTCACGCTGGAGGTGCGGCCTCTGACTTGTCTGGGCCCACCCCAGCTTCCGTGGAGCGGCCGTGGGCGTCACCCACCACCTGGGCCCACCCCGGCTTCCATGGAGGGCGGCCGTGGGCGTCACCCACCCCCTGGGCCCACCCCGGCTTCCGTGGAGCGGCCGTGGGCGTCACCCACCACCTGGGCCCACCCCGGCTTCCGTGGAGGGCGGCCGTGGGCGTCACCCACCACCTGGGCCCACCCCGGCTGCCGTGGAGCGGCCGTGGGCGTCACCCACCACCTGGGCCCACCCCGGCTTCCGTGGAGGGCGGCCGTGCTCCGCTTCAGATGGCAGAGTCGCCTCGAGGCTCAGTCTGTTTGGGCTGCTGTGAATGCCACCGCAGGGGCTTATGGACACGACATTATTGCTCACAGCTCTGAGCCTCGTGCCGTCGTGGCTGGGGTCTCTCACTGTGTCCCAACGTGACGGAGGGGGAGGGAGCCCTGGGGGCGTCATCCCTAGAAGTGCTCGTCTCATTCATGACAGCTTCACCCTCATGGCCCAAGCACCTGCCTGATACCATCACCTCCCACATATGAACTTTGGGGGTGGAGCCTAGACATTAAGATCATAATACCTTGGTACAGAGTAAATCCAAGAAAATGGAGGGGTCTGGGCTTCTCACCTTGGCCCCCTTACTGGTGCCTCTCTGCTGGGCAGCGGAGTCGGCTGGCCTCCCCCAGTGGCCCCGGAAGTGCTGGGAGCACGCTGACCGCACGGACCCAGCCGCTCGCAAGCCCCCGAAGGCACACTGCTGGCTGCCAGGACCCCAGGCACCTGCCCAGGTCGCCTTCCCGCGGGAACCCTGTTGACGCGGGCAGCCCCCAGCTCTGCAGCCCCGGGCTGCCTCCCGCACCCGTGGTGCCGTCCCGGGCGCGGCCTCCTCGCTGGGGACACCGGCCATGGCTGCCACTCTGGCCCCAACTTACGCTCACGGCATCCCGGCGACTTTTATTCTGGAAAAGGGAAAACCTCCTTTCTTTATGTTTTTGCAATTTGTTCCTCGTCGTGGTGTTTTTTTCTTTTCATTTTCCATTTTTGATATATTTTGGCAAATAAGATGTTTGGGGGGGATTCGGACACTGTTTATCTATGTCTTCATTATTTCTTATAAGGAAACCCATCTTGTCTTTTCTCTTGACGAGGACAGCGGTCATGTGCAGTCCACAAATGCCGATGACATCGACAACCCCTCCGGGGACATCGCGTCTCTGGCCAGGCCCCGGAGCTCCGCACCTCCGTACACAGACACGAGGCGGTGAGTCCCTCGTCGTCACCGCCCTGCTGTTATTCGGGATGGGACACGGGCATGGGTTTATTAAAATTGAAGGCGTAAGCAGGGTCTGCTCTTGAACACAGCTCAAGGGGAAAGATACCCATCTCCTGGACGAGCTGTGGTTTGTCACAAGGGGGTCACACGTTAGGCTCAGACTAGCCAGCTGCCTTGAGACAGCTACACATTGCCTTTGCCAGTGGGAACACCAGGGCCCAGGAATGCTGTCCCGTGGCTCACAGGACACTCGCTGTGAGTGGAGTCCTGTGGTCTCGTCCTGATGCCGCGAGCTGGTCGCGCCCTGGAGCTGTGCTGTCGGTGTCCACAGCGACTGACCGGCTGCACACGGTCCTAGGCGAAGCCACGGTGGGACTCACAGGAAGGTTTTCACTGTTCACCGCTTTCTGTCTTTTGAAAACATCAGTTGTGCCACGAGAGGAACAAGTTAAACTTCGTGTCGGTTGCCTTCAGTAGTATTGCGTTGGCTAAACACAGTCATCTTGACGTTTTCTCTGTCATCTGTTCTGTTTCATTCTTGTGACCACTTGGCCAGACTACAAAATATGCTTCAAAAGTAAATTTGCTTTAAAAATACAGTTATGCAACTTACCTCACTTAAACATCTGTCTAATTGAATCAAACCAGGGGTTGGGAAGCACATGTAGAATGTGTTAAGGTCCGTGGAAATATAAAACTAAAAAGACACAGACTTTGTCCTCACGTCACTTGGAAATCGGAAGGGCTGATGCGCTCTGTGCACAGTAATCATGACGTAAGCAGGATGAAGGGAGTCTCCCCCAAACGTCAGCTCAGTGTTTCCGTGTAGGGAGAAGCTCTCAGTTGTGGGGAGGGGTCACTTCCATGCTGGGGACGTGGAGGCTGTGATGTCGAGCTGAGTCCTAAGGAAGGAGCAGTTGGTTTGATTCTCCCACAAACTCTGAAAGGAAACTAAGCTGTTAACCATAGTAGTTCTAGAAATTTTAAAGGAAGGACATGGGACAAACCAGTTTAAAAATATTCTTCAGGCATAAACATTTAGTAATGTTTCTCCTTTGAAATGTGTTTGAATTTTGAACAGTTTATGAAACATTCTTGCTACAACACGTTGAAGCGTTCTTTTGGGTCAGTCTCCAAAGAGAGCGAAGGGCCGTCCACTGGGTTTTCCGAATGTGACGTGAAATTGACCGTTTACCTGAACAAATCTGGGAACGTGCCAGTCTACCTCATTTTTCTATTAATTCTGTTTTTTTTAATTACTATGTACTGGGTTCAGGGGTTCAGCTTAGTGGTTAGACAGTCAGATTCCTGACTCGGTGCTCCTCTCGACAGCCGGCGCCTGCCTGGCCCCGAGCACGTCGTCAGTGTGACTGTTCCCTGAGCTTCACTCTTTTTCTGTGACTGTTCTGTAGCTGCCACGTGCTTCCCAGGCCTCACCTCTTCCACCCGCCCCAGCCGCGCCCTCCGCAGCCTCCGTCTGTTCTCTGCATCTGTGAGTCTGTTTCAGCTTTGTGTGTTCGTTTATATTGCTCTTTAGATCCCACATGTAAGTGAAATCGTAGGTATTTGTCTTTCTCTGAGTTATTTCACTGAGCATACGGCTTCTAGGTCCACCCATGCTGTTCGAATGATTAGACTTCCTTCACTTGTATGGCCGAGTGATGTTCCACTGCATATAGGCACCACGGCCCTTTCATTCATTCATCTCTTGATGGCATCGGGCTGTCTCCGTAGCCTGGCTATTGAAGGGACATAACGCTACAATGAACACAGGGGTGCGCATATTCTTTCGAATTAGTGTTTCGGGTTTCTTCGCATAAATTCCCAGCAGTGGGATCAGTGGGTCCTAAGGCAGTTCCATTTTTCATCTTTTGTGGAACCACCGTACTGTTTCCACGGCGGCGGCAGGAGTCTGCGTTCCCACCACAGTGCACGAGGTCCCCTTTTCTCCATGTGCTCGCCAGCTCATCTCTGGATTTATTGATGACCGCCAGTCTAACGGGGTGAGGTGATACAGCTTTGCGGCTTTAATTTGCGTCTCTGATGATTAGTGAGGTTGAGCATTTTTTCATACGTCTGTGTTCTTTGGAGAAGTGTCTCTCAGGTCCTTTGCCTGCTTTTTAATTGGATTGTTTGGGGTTTTGGTGTTGAGCAGTGTACGTTCTTCATAAACTTTGGATATTGTGAAAAGCTCTCCTGTTCTTCAGTTGTCTCTTTGTTTTGTTGGTGCTTTCCTTTGCTTGAAACCTTTTCCCTCCGATGCAGTGCATCTGTTTCTCTTGCTTGTTCCCCTTGCCCTGGGAGGTATTTACATCAGCAGCGTGAGCTAAAGGCTTGAAGACGCTGACTGCACTTACCCAGAGTGGGCACTAGAGGGCCTGCGAGCTCGCAGTTTCTCTTTCCACTAGGTTTCAATTTTCAACATGATCCCAAACATTTTTAAAAAGTTACCTTTATTGTTGAGAGCATTACCGATGTCCCCACTTCACAAAGAAATGCTTTCCAGTTTTATTATGAAATACGGATAGATGTCGCGTTGCCATGTAAAGTAAAATGACGATAAAGCCCCCCCCCCCACCCTGCTGAAGAAATTGTTTTACTGATCCCTTTAAGGCACCGCCTGGGCCCCTCCCCGAGGAACCGTAGGCATCAGGCTCTGTGCACCCCTGTTCCTGCGAAACCGCGCTGAGCTAGCACGCAGCACGGCATGATACCGTCTGCATGGAGCGGGGCCCAGAGCGGTCAGCGCGGAGCTTTGTGCCCAGGGAGACTCGGCCTTCGTCCCTTCCAGAAGCACGACTCTTCCTCTGGGGTCTCCCCTGCCCTTGCGGGGAAGTATCTTTGCGGCACTGTCTCTAGGGCTCTCCTCGCCACGCCTGGCACTCCTGGGTGAGCCTCGCTGTCCCCACCCTGCGGTGGGGGCCACGCCTCAGGCCGCGGGGACCCTGGGCGGGGCAGGCGGCTCTTGGCCTCCCCCGAGGGGATGTCGTCCAAAGTCCCCCCATTCCAAGTGGTTTCATTTTCTGGTCGTCAGGTCATCTGATAAGGCCAATATGCGCACATCAGGGTGATTTTACTTATAGTTCAGAAAATCGTCTTTAAAAAAATATTGTGGCCCTGGCCGGTTTGGCTCAGCGGTTGGAGCATCGGCCCGCGGACCAGAGAGTCCCGGGTTCAGTTCCCGCTAGGGGCACGTCCCAAAAAAATATATTATGGAACTGAATCTGGTCATTATAGAAAAAAGTACAGAAAGACTAACAATAAAATTATAGCCACGCCGTCACACAAAAGCTTAGCCGGTACTGAGATATCAGCACACTGCCGTCCGTCACGGGCACTGTTCCTCTTGCCTGTGTATGTTTACAGCATGTGACACGTAAGTTCTCACCGTGACATCACCGCGTCATCACGGGCGCACGCGTGTCTGCGTGTCTGCGTGTCTGCGCACTCCCCGCGGCGTGAGGGCGCTGCTGCGGGCCGGCTCACAGGAGGCTGTGGTTGGAACTGCTTCCTATGGACACTCCTGGGAGCGGGTCGTGCCGTCAGGCACGTGGATGCTCCTCAGCCACGGCTCCGTCGCTTCCGGAAGCCACGGCACCAGCCACGCAAGCCGGCGTCTGTCCCCGTGTCGGGGTCGCCCAGGGCCAGTGCCAAAGCGCACCGGACATCTCTCCTCTCTTTCTTCCCAGTGTTTTCACTGCAGGAAAAATTCAAATGTTTTTAGAGTATGAAAAGTAAAGTATCTGTTTTATTTTTAATCCAGTACTTTTCATGTTTTCAATCCTAAAAGTTTAGTATATTTTTAGACTTTTCCCCACGCGTGCAGCATGCCTGTAAGGTACAGCTCCATGTACGTGGTGTATGCATGCATGGGGGGGGTGTCAGGGTGGAATACACCGTGGACGTTTCCCGACACTGTGAGCGCCATTGAACTCTTTTCAGTGGCTGCGTGGATTCCACTAGGAGGCTGAGCGTGTCCATGGGCCACGTCCCTATTGGAAAACGAATGACTGGGCCACTTTTAAATGGAGCCAGAGCGGCCGCCCCGGAGGAGCTGCCCCGCGCACCTTACTCCTCCATCCTTTGGATGTTAGAACAGGGCAGAGCCACCGTGGGCCTCCGCAGCCCTGTTTCCCCCAGGCCTTCCCAGAGGTACCGAGACAGCAGCTGCCGTGACTCAGACTGATGGCCGGGGCGGAGCCCGCGAACACTGTCATGTGACCTGCGCCCGCTGCAGCGCCTCGCGCTGGACGTCACTGGCCCTTTCTCCAAGTACCCGCCACTTTGTTCCTCGTCGGACAGTTTGGCTTCTGCCTGAATTGGCCCCCCCGTTGCTGTCCTTCCTGGATCCCGGTCGGGTGCATGTTGCTGCTCACGTGGCCCTTCCCGGGCGGGGCAGAGTGCAGGCCGCCCCGCACACCTCGCTCAGGGCCGCGCAGGACACGTCTGTGGACACTGTGCCGCAGAACCGCTGGGCCCCTTCCCGGGGGGCAGAGTGCAGGCCGCCCCGCACACCTCGCTCAGGGCTCCGCGCAGGACACGTCTGTGGACAGCTGTGCCGCAGAACCGCTGTGCCCCTTCCCGGGGGGCAGAGTGCAGGCCGCCCCGCACACCTCGCTCAGGGCTCCGCGCAGGACACGTCTGTGGACACCTGTGCCGCAGAACCGCTGTGCCCCTTTCTCATGAACATTAAACATTGTCCAGTTTGGTCGGTGTGCCCTGTTGTCAAAGCACATTGAAAGTTAAGGGACTAAAATGCACTGCAGTTCCCAATGACAGTCCTCTAGTCGTGTTGCACCCCGTGTCCTGGCGAGCACCTCCCGGAGCCCAGCACCGCAGGTCTGCGCGGGGTGGGACCCACGGCCCCGGTGCTCCCCCCGCGGCCCCGGTGCCCTTCCATCCCCCCCCCGCGGCCCCGGTGCTGGACGGCCTGTGCTGCGGGGTGGACGAGCTGCCCCTGGTCCTCCCAATGAGGACACGGGCTCAGAGGAGCAGAGGGCGGCAGTGACAGAGCAGATGTGAGGGACACTGCCGGACGCTGCGCCCCTGCTTTCCCGGAGCCCAGCGCCTGCGCACCTGCCTCCTTAGGTCGCCTTCCGTCCGTCCCGGGAGCCCAGGGCGTCGTGTTTGCTGAGCCTTCACCTCCAGCACCTCTGCGAGGAGCGTGCACAGATGCGGGCACTGCCTCTCGGGCTCGGGCAGATGCTGGGCGATCTGGGGTGGAAGAAGGGGCCTCCCTGGGGTCCGGTGCTTTGCACCTTTAAAAAATATCTTCCCACCACCCAGGTTAAAGAACGGGCTGTGACCAGAAGTTCCTTCTGCTAGCTGGACGCTTCTGCCTTTTCAGAGAACTCTCACTTCTATCTCGTTCGGTTTAAAAATAGTGTGTTGAGGTCAGAGGTGCGGGAACTGCTCCGGCCCACGCTGCCGAGGTCGCCGAGGCGGCCGCGGGGCCTCAGGCCTGACAGCTCACCGGCAGGGCTGAGGGCAGCCACCTTCCCGGCAGACGAGGGCGCTCCCTGCGCCTCTGCCCCGTCGGCCGCGCTGTGCCCCACCAAGTGAGCAGAGGGAGAGACGTGCCCTCTGGGCCGGGCAGTGATGAGAGGCACCTGTGACCCCAGCACCCCGAGGCCGCAGCGCGTCCAGAGGAGCCCGCCATGTGGGTTTCTCACTGCAGAGTGAAAGCAGATGGACCAGAACTCCCGTGGCCCTCCCTTCTCTTCCCTCCAGCTGCGCCCCGCCCTCAGCGTCCCCGAAGGCCCAGCCTTGACCCCCCACTTCCTCTCCCATCCCGCCCCTAGCGGGCTGAGTGCGCTCTGGGCACGTCACCTAGACTTGCCCGGCTCCTGCATCTGTGAAATGGGCGCAATGCCGGGGCCCATGCAGCACCGCCCATTGTGGGAACTAGATAGTCAGCTCACGGAAGCATCTGGGGGTGCCTGGCCCACAGCTCACCCCAGAGTGCTCACACCTGCCGCCGGAGACGGGTGCACACGGACGTTCAGTCGTGTGAACGCTGCCTGCTCTCTGCGTACAGCGTGGTGTTCTGTTTTCTCTGCAGTCTGTTTAGCTTTTAATACACCCAATCTGTGCTCTCTTCTGACTTACTAAACTTCCTCACATTCTGAAGTTCTTTAACTTCTATGTTGTTATGCTTTATTGAAGGAAACCAGTTAGTTGTAAACTTAGGCGATAGCGTATTCCATTTTACCCAGTAGTGAGAAAACCCAGGCACATTTCGGAACCGGGTACAAAAGGTGTTCAGAGGACTAGACACTGGAGCAAAGAAAAAAAAAGAAGACGACTTTTCTCACTTTTCAGTGGGTTCCTGCTTCTCTCTGCTTTCCCGAAATGAGGGCTCTGTACATGCTGCTCATCTGGAAATCGTTTTGAAGGTTGTGCCTTTCAGTCTCTCCAGAGTCCCATCCCCGCCCTCTGAGAAATGATGGCGCCGTGAGCCATCTGCGGCGTCCGCCCGAGGCCGCCCTCGTGTGGTCTGAGGTCAGCTCGGTGCCCTTCAGACGGGGACGGCCCCCTGTGATGCCCTTCGAAAGGGCTCCGTGGGCGAGGACTCCCACATTCAAACACGGGAAGTTTATTGTGCGGCTGAATTCAGGCCCCATCCTCTGCGGCTCGTCTTCCATTCGGCTCCTCGCTCCGGGTCGCGCTGGGGAGGACGCGATGGGCTCGGATGCCGTCACTGTCGTGTCGGCGGTGACGCTGCGCAGCACCACGCCCTGTGCGGAGGCGCCCGGACTGCGGGTGCTTTACGTGCAGCCCCTCCAGACTGGCTTCTCTGGAGGCCGAGGCTTGGGGGCCTCAGCGCTGTAGGTGTTCGGGCCGTGGAAAGAACCTGTCACCAGAGCAGGGGCCTTCCTGTCGCCCGCATGGGCGCTCAGGGGATGGCGGCCAGGGACAGACACAGGAAACGACTTTCCCTTCGCTCACCTTTCTGACGTGCAGACGCCCTTGTTCAAGAAAATGCCAAGAAGCCCTGAAGGACACTTCCCAGAATTCAGTGCTGGTGCCCTCAGCCCGGCCCCTCCAGCAGAGCTGCAGCTGCCTCTCAAACGGCCTCCACCCGGACCACAGGGGTGCTCGGGGCTCCTGGGAGCCGGCCCCAGGCACGCGCCTCCCAGCTCCGCAGAACGGCCGGGTCAGGCCTCGGAGCCTCGGAGAAGCCCCGCGGGCTCAGTGAGCGGTCAGAAACCCCTGCGTGGACGACTGGCCAGCTGCCCGCCCCCGGGCCAGCTCTGCACCTCCACCTACCTGGCCCCCAGCACATCCCTGACTGTGAAGTCCTGTCTCCCCACTCACGGCACTTGGGCACCTCGGTGCAAAGCTCGCCAACTGCTTTCACCGTCCGGAGTCCCTGTCACCCCAGGGTGCTCCTGAGGGCCTCCTGGAGGTGTCTCCCTGCTGCCTGTGGCTGAGGGAGGCCCACGGGGCTTGCCACACCCGGACGAAACCTCACGGGTGCTCAGGGAGCTGAGTGGGACTTGGGAGGGGCCTGGCTCCCAGGGGGGGTCCTGCTCTCAGCTCCTTACTTTCCAGTCTCGTGAGATCCAGTGCTTCTCCCGTGGCCTCTTCTCTTGCCCTGGATGTGCTCCTCCTCACCTTGATAGGTCAGGCGTCTGTGTGCCTGCCAGCCAGTAAGTCATCGCGGACAGTCACAGAACGACCCACTGGGAAGAGACACGTGAGGTTTGTTAGGGACGCGAGCTTCTCTCTAACATCTGACCCCAGCACATAATCAGTGCAGTGAAGGGCGCCAGCGGCTGCAATATGAGCTGCTGCCTTTTCTCCAGCGACACTTTCATCAGAAGAGTCTCACTTCACTCCCACACCTGCCCTTGGGGTTCAGCAGCTCAGTTAGGATGAGGAGCCCCACCTGAGGACTTCATGCTCTCAGAGAAAGGGTCAGGGAAGGGAAGCCCATCTGCAGCATGAGTGGGAGCCTCAAGCTGACCCCAGCCCCTTTCTTTGCTCTGGGCATGTTGCTGCTGCTGGTGTTTGTCTTTGACCCTCCAAAGCAGGCCTCAGAGGCTGAGGCTTAGCACTGAGAGGATGCTGAGAGCTGAGGGCCAGAAACGTGATGTTTCGTTGGAGTGAACCTCATGCCCTGCATGCAGTGTGTTCTGGCTGCTTGGAATACATGCCCCAGCTCCTTGAGGTTCAGGCTGTGTGTCTGGAGCAGTACTGAGGACCGAGCCCCTCTCTCAGGAAATACGCGTGTGAAGTGCGTGGTGTGCTGAGAATGTGGCAGACGCGCTCCTCTGCAGTGCGTATTAAACTTGTTCCCTTGGAAGGCAGGTTGACTTTGTGGAGAGGGATTGCTACGTGCACATTTTGTGTTTGTCTTGCCTCTCCGGCTGGCAGGGCACCGAGGGGAGAGCAGAGGAGTCGGGGGTGCACGTGTTTAAATGTGTGCACTTCCAGGACATTACGTGAACTCCGTCATACGGGACATGAATGGCAACGAGAAAAGTGTCATTTAAAAACACGGTGTGTGCCCGCTGACACTGGAGGCTGCGCCAAGGCTGTGTGCGGCCCCTGCTCTGCAGAGACGGCGCATCTGCCCTCGTCAGGAGACGGAGCTCAGTAGCGAATCGTGTCCTGAAAATATGTAAAGATGCAAATAACAAGAAAACGTGGACCTGAGGCTTGTTCCTTCCGTCCTGGAGGAGAGCTGCCGTCTGCACACACGCCCCCTGCCCACACGCTTCCCGTTTGGCAGCCCGCGCCCCAGACCTGACAAAGGACAGACTGCCCGACTGCGTGCGCCTTCGTGTTCCCACGTCCGGCCCTGGAGACCGCGACTGTTTCGCAGATCCTAACCTTCATGCTCTCTCCTCTTCCTCCAGCTCTGCAAATGTCCCCGGGTACACCGGGAAGGTTCATTTCACGGCCACCCACCCTGCAAATTCCGCTGTTCCGGCCGCAGTCCCCTCGCCGGACTCCGAAGTGCAGCGGTGAGTCCGAGCTGGCCTGAGTGCTCAGCGCGCAGGCCCTGGGGATGGCGTGCCGGCGGAGCGCCGTCAGACACTGACGGGCAACTCGCGTGGTTCACACACGGGGTGCCGGGTCCTGGGCGTGGGAGAGCCCTTCCCCACTGCGGTCGCCGAAAGCCGCGTGGACGACGCCACGGCGTGTCAGTGAGCCGCAGCTCCGTGTCCGCACTCCGCGGGCACACGGCGCCCCCGCATCACCGTGGGAGGGTGCCCGGGAGCACGGACACACTGCCTGGGACACACGGTTCCTTCTCGTGAACCACTCCCTGAGCTGTCATCCCAGACAGCGTTCTGTTGAAAGTCTGAGATTTTTAAACGTCATTTTGCAAACTGACAGCATGAGACACACTATGGCAGGTTGGGGCGACTCCGTTGTTCGGAGCTGCTGGTGAGAAGCAGCCCATCATCGCTCGTTATCACTGAGATCTGAAAGTGTCTGGCGGAGGCTGGCCTTGCAGATGAGACCACACGGTTCTGAAAATGCAAATGCACGTGCGAGCCGTCCAGCTGTGGCCCCGCAGGGTAAACTCCCGGGAGGTGGGTGTGTGTCTGAGAGCCGGGGGCAGCTCCCCAAAGGGCGCCCCCGCTCCTCCCGGTAGAGCATCCGTTCACTCATCACACACTCACGAGCACCCCTCCGGCCAGGCACCGCCCCGGGCACCGGGCACACGGTGGCAGGGTCTGCCTCTCGGGAGCTCGCGTCCCGGTGTGAGACAGGAAAGGCCACAGTCTACGGGGAACCCCCCAGTCTAGCACCTACTGCAGCTCTAGACACAGACTCTCAGTCAACACAACGCACACGATGTGACGAATGAAACAACGCAGTAAACAAAAGGAGTGAGACAGAGCCCCAGGACTACGGAGGCACCTCCTCTTTCCCTACGAGCTCGCCCTGGCGCGTGCGTATCTCTGGCTGAAGAACAGATGAGGTTTTACGTTCTCACGTTCATTTTGTGTCCGTTTTTCTTTTGTCGCTCTCTGTGTTTCAGCATCTTACGGAAAGAGATGGCAGTTGACCTCTTCCGTCGCCAGGCACCGCTGTCCCGAGTGGTCACAACCGTGAAACCCTGCAACCCCTTCAACAACAGGAAGAAGGAAGCTGTAGGCTACTGAAGAGGCCTGCCGCCCAAGGGAGACGCCGGACCTCAGCCGCGGGCAGGCCCCGTGCACGGGCCACGGGGAATAAAGACCCCGTGCTCCAAGGTCCATGAGGGTCGGTGCTGTCTTCTGACGAGGCCGAGGGCCTGGGCCCCCGCCGTGGTCACCACTGGCCCCGCCCTGGCGTGCGGTCAGCCCTGAGGGCAGCCACCAGCAGCAGGGGCCCTTCGGGGAGGCTCCTGTGCAGAGTGGGAGAGCGCGGCCGGCCGGCGGCCTCGTATCTCGGTCGAGTTCATGCAGGTGTTTCGGCTGTCAGTCAGGGTGTTGTGATCACAGAACATCCCGTCAGTCCACCTGTCATCGCCGGGAAGACCCATCGCCTGACAGGAAACGACGCTCCCCCTTTCACTAGGGCACGGCGTCACCCGGGGGCACCCCACGATCGAGAGGACAGCCTCCCTGGCCTGGCTCCAGGATGTCAGAGGGAGAAGCACCCCCCGGTGCCAGGAAGGTCCCTGGGCACAGAGGGCCGCTCAGGGCCACTTCGGTGTCAGCGTGTGGCTTGGCGAACGCTCTGCCAGACAGGGCACCAGCTCCGGGCCAGTCCCGCGCGTGGGCCATGCAGGGCGGTCACCCTGCGCGCTCGGTCTGTGGGTGCTGACGCCACCGATGCTGTCGCACAGCGTGGCGCGTTCGGCCCTCAGCCCGCGGCAGGCATTCTCCTCGCTGTCCCACCACCAGCCGCCCGCAGGGAAGGGTTTCCCCAAGCTCACACTAGAAACCCGCAGAGCTGGCACTAGGACCCGGCCTTCTGAATTCATGCTGTCCCTCGCACCTCCTCGGGTGTGCGATTGGGTAACAGAACCAGCAGGAAGAGACAGAAAGAAACTGTGTTTCTAGACTTTTCTGAAGTGTTTTTCAGGTTTCTTTCTGTCTTCTTCTTCCAAGAGGTCCACACTATGATGATCATCCCACAGAACTCCAAGCAAACGTGACTCCTTTGGGGTGTCTCCTGCTCACCCCCCAGAGGGGCACAGTCGGCTGTCTTTGTTTTGGGGTCGGGTATTGCCTCGGTGACCCCCTCATGCAGATTGGCTGCTGACCCTCAGACTCTGCCTGTGTGCTGGCTTGCTGCCAGGGCCGAAGGGAGCGTGTGCGTCCAGCCGTCCTGCAGAGCTGACTCGCGTCCATGGAGAGGAATGACTCCACCTGAACGTGATCTTGTGATCTGTTTCCAGAGAGAGCAGTTCTGTAAAAACAAATCAAAACAAAAGTCTTCGTCTCTGAGAGTCTCACCCAAACGTGACGAGGAGGCTCAGCCCTGCCCGGGAAGGAGGGGAACGCCGGTACCTGTGATTGCACCTGGGTGAGCGTCGCTGGCAGGAGGCACCTGTCAGTCATTCCGGGCCCTTCCACTGGGCACCAGCAGCGCCTGATGCCAACCTTCTGCTCCCGTACCTGTCCCGAGTGAGCACCCGCAAAGCTCCCAGCAGGAGGCGGGCTCTGCCTGTGCATCCCTGGGCCAGGGCCCGGAGCAGGGAGGTGGTGGTGCTCCATCCGTGCCGTGACTGGGTCAGGCTCCTCGCCTGCGAAGATAAAATGCAAATCCTGCTCCCGCGGCCCTGGAGCCCGGTCCTGCTCCCATGTGTTCTTACTGAGATGTCAGAAGACCCCATGTCGGCCGCTTAGACTCCAGTTCAAACACTGAAGCCAGACTGTAAGCTCACAGTCGTTTCCCACGCTGGCGGGAGGGCCCAGACTGGGGTGTGGGGAAAACCGTGGTCCTCTAATCTGCTTTGTTCACTGTGACTCTACTCGGACTCAGTTGTCAGGGCTGCGTGTCCACCTCTTGCCGACCTCCACACGCAGTGTGGACATGATGGGGGAACGAACGCTGGGACTCAACCACTAGGACCCACGGACAGGTGCTTGGCTGCAAGTACATCAAGTCTTGAGGGCAGGCAGTGCCCCCCCAAAGACCGCTGTGACCAACACTGATGCCCATAGAAGGGCATCCTGCCCAGAGCCGGCGTGGTGCCCCTAGGTGGCAGCACAACCACCCTGCCCTTTGACAGGTGGCATCTGCCCGTGTATTTTGTCCTCAGGTGCCGCCTACATGTGTGATCCTTTAAAAACCTCAGAGCACCACGGCGTAGCAAGAGAGGAGTCCTCCGTCTGCAGAATGTTGGAATCTACCGCCGCCGATCATTCTCCATAAACTTCACACGGCCCCTTGACGTCCTTTTTTGGGGGGAGGGAAAATATTTATGCTAATTTGCTCATGAAACGGGGGTCGGCAATCTGCATGCTGGGTGATCAGCTCCCATGTCTTGCTGTTGAAGAGACCGTGTCTGCGCTGCTGCTGGCGAGGGTCACGGGTGTTAAACACTGAAACGGAGCAGAGGCCCCGCTCCCAGCAAAGGCAGAGTGTGTGACGTGGATGGCGGGAGGCAGGGGCCTGTGTCTCGCCCAGAATTATTTTACAATGAATTTACCAGCCACAGAGTCACAGGCCCTCTGGAGTCAGCCTGTACACGGAACAGTGACACACGCAGGGACCGACAGGGCGCTTTCGGGGAGACTGTCTGAGAACAGGCGAGTGATGTCCAAGTGCCCCAGAGGGTCAAGGGCAGGGGTGGCCCTGAGCGCCCCGGACCTCACCCAGGGCACCGTGGAACAGAGCCAGGGGCTTCCTGAAGGAGCGTGTGTGGAGGAAGACCCTGTGGTGGGGGCGAGGGGCGCCTCTCCCTCTGCTGCTGAGGGCTGGCTGCTGAGACACCCTGCGCGCAGGGTTCCTTGCAGCGCGTACCGGAGGGCTCCGTACACCGAGGGCAGCGGCTCTCCCTGTCTGGGCAGCTCTGGTCTGTCGTGCAGTGAACTCGGCTCTCGGCCTCACCGAACAACGGAGGTGCCCTCCTGCCCCTGGGGCCGGAGCCGGGCACCTGTCAAGGCCAGTGCGGGGGCGAGCCATGCTCATCCGTGACGCAGACTTTCCCACAGCCCCGGTGGGTCCAGGCTGGAGACCGGGGGGAGGGAGAGCTCCAGGCCTTTCCCGAAGCGCAGGGACCTCTGCGCACCCTGCCCTGGGCTGCTCGGAAGGTGAGGTCAGCCACGGCGGGAGCGGCGGTGTCTGTGCTGCCCGTGGTTTCGTCACGTCCCTTGACTTCTGTACGAATGTCCTCGGAACCCCACGGCACCTTCAGAAAGCTGCAGCCCTCTGAAGTCACGGCAACAACACCCCTTCCTGCCTCAGACGGGACCGAGAGGGGCCCTCCCATCCGAACTCCGCTCCTGAGCGAGCTGCTCGGGGTGGGGTGCACTTCCTGTCTGCGGAGAGAGCAGAGGGTGTGCGGTGGGGGCAGGGAGGAGCCGCAGGGCCTGGGCCGCCAGGGGTGCTGGGGACAGACCCCGCCGTGTGCCCAGGGACCCTCATTCCCATCTCCACCCCCCGGGGCCTGGCCACTGGACGTGGGGCCAGAGTGCTCACTGACTCGAGGTTGAAGCTTTCTCCTCGTCTGTGATTCTTGTTTCCTGCTTTCTAACTTTGTCAGTGCCCTGGGTGCCCATGAGCGCTGTGGCCCTCTGGGCCTGGCCGTGTCGGGACCAGTGACCCTCGGAGCAGGCTGCTGAGCCCACACAGGCTCTGGGGCTCACCCTGATTTGTCGAGTAAGGTGCCTGCCCCCAAAGCCCACCTTCCTCATTAGGGAAATGCTGGTCACTGAGGGTGACAGAGCAGAGAGCGTGCACAGCACCCGGCCTGTCAGAAACGCCCCACAGGGTCACAGTTACTAGGTGAACGCTAACGTGCTGTGGGCCAGACCCCGGCTCCCCTGGGGCCGTCTTCCCTCTCTGCCCGCACCTGGCCGGTCACACGGACCGTGTCCTGCGGCCTCCGCCCCGGGCAGGCCCCGCAGTCCCGCTGAGCAGCGTCGGCTCACCGGTGCCGGAGCGAGCAGCTGAGTCGGCCTGCACCCAGGTACGGCCCCTTATTTCCGCGACTCTTCACGGCGCCTCGTGGGGTTTGCATGCAGTGGCTTCTTGTAACGGAAGCGTTTGCTCAGTCTCCCTCTCCCAGTCCCTGAAGTCTGGGCTCATGTCCTGGCCACCCTGGTGTCAGCCGGACCCTGGGCCGCCAGGCACGGAGCAGGTGCCTGCAGAGGCTGTGACCCGAGGGTCGCGCTGCGGGACTGGACTTCCTCAAAGCCAGGCCCCTGGATCCGCCGCCCAGCCGTCCCGGCGGCGCCCTGACTGCAAGCTGCTGTGAGCTCCACTCGATCGTGTGCTGCGCAAACGGCACGGAAGGGAGAAAACTCCTGTCTGGAAAATGTCTGCAATGCAGACGTCACCTAAGTCAGATGAGCTGCACCATTTCTTCCGAAAAGCAGCACCTCCCTCCATGTGGTGGTTCCGTTTCCCAGACAGGCCCTGGGCCCGCTCAGGAGTGAGCGCCACGGGCCCGGACCCATGGGCATCCTCCACCGTCCTCTCCCTCCCGTGATCGTCTCAGGCTTCCGCACGGTCGCGGGCACCAAGACATCTGTTAGCACCACACCCGGGAGGCCGTGCGCTGGCCGCAGAGTGACCGCCGAGGGCGAGGCCAGGCCCCAGGCACCGGGGCAGCTCAGCTACTCTGAGGAGCGCAGCCTGTGCTGCCAGGGGGAGCAGTCAGCGCCTGGGCTCGGGGACCTCGGGCGGGGCCCCGAGGAACACCCAGGAGCTCCCTGGGCAGACACGCAGGCGCAGGGGAGCCTGGCTGACCGCCTTCCTCCAGTCGGACGGGCACACACATTTTGTCTCGGAATCCCTTGACATTCTTTAATATGATGACGGTCCCCGAGGACGTCTCCCTGTGGGTTATGTCATCGATGCTCGCTACATCACAAATTAAAACTTGTCCATTTAAAATCTGCATTCTTTCACTTTAAAACCATGGAGTGACCGTGTCCGCTGGCAGAAATCTCGCGTTCACCTGCCTCACTGACATCTAAAGTACCTCCAGGTGACTCGGAAGCCC